GTGAAATCGCATATATCTTTAAAAATATTCTCTCCAAGGTTTATGGCGTCTAGAACAGATTGTTTGATGGGTGCTAACTCAGATGGTGGCCACTTACTAGCAGTGCTGGAAAAGTGCCCTACACCAGTATCAGCACAGAGAGATGTGCCATCGTTTGTTACCCCGGCGGGTGTGAGGTGTTCATAATACCGTGCCTCCAATGCATCGCCCTCCCATCCGGTGATAAGTGGCTTGACAGTATGTGTGCTATTTGCGTCAATATTGAGGCTGAAATTTCGTGTTGGCTGAGAAAATTTAGATTGGATGGGGGGAGGTAGGTATTCCTTGTGGATAGTATGCTGGGGTAGAGTTACGTGTATCGCAGTTATGACTAATATTTTGTGTGTTTAAGTTATTTTCGTAAATATTAGTCCATTGACGGTCTTGGGTGGTCTGTATGCGATGGTTTTCGGGGATGTGGTGAGTCAAAAGGCCACCTTTAGGAAACATGCCTAGCGCACTTGTTCCTTGTTGTAGAGGTCCCTGGATCAAACTTTTGTCTATAGTAGCCATAGATTGGAAAGTTGTGTCGGGGTAGGTGTATGCCTGCCCGTCGGGCTTCGACTTATTTTTAGGGTGCCCAGACATATAGCGTCTGTTGTGTCTATCGGACGAAGACTTGTTTGATGTTGGATGAATCGGCGGGTTACCTCTCTTTTCATTGACGTTAGATTTATGGCGGTATGAGGGCTTATTCTGCTTCCCTGGTTTAGTGGTATGATTGGGGTCGCTTAAGTTAATGTTATCTGGTTCGCTGCTGAGAAACCTATCAGTGATGTGTTTGAGTACAGGTATTCTGGATGGCAGGGTTATTTTACTTCGTTTTGTATGCTCACTAATCTGAGTGCTGCTCGGGGAGGATATGCTTAATGCTACATGCTCGAGCTTAGTCTTTTGCTTAACGTTGGTAGTGGTATTAGCGGCTGATGGTGATGTGGCTAGCGAGCATAACTCTGAAGATGCATCTAAGTCTATGACCGTAGTTGCTTCATCGTTGAGTTTACTAGGTAAATTTTTATTATTTAAGAGTATTTCATGTATGTCTGTACCATTAGGTTTACTCAAGTTTAAGGCGACAGAGTCTTCTATAGGACATTCTGCTGTTACGTAAGTTTTTGCGACACTTGGTACACTTGCGCGGCTACGTCTTTGACATGGCGTTAGGTCATGGGCAAGTTTAATATTACCATAAGGTGTGGATGAACTAATTAACTTATTTGACGACTGAAATTTCCTAGCATCATTAGGACTACTGAATTTAAACAGCACAGGGCAAGTATACTTTCCTGATTTTTTCCTGAGTCTGATTAGGTGGCAATTCGCTGATGGCATGCCACACGCTTGGAGACATGTCACTTTGATTTTGTCCAGAGGCGTCCGATCAGGCAGATTGTAAGCGAGAACGTTGTACGAGGACATGATTCGTTTAGTAACTTCACTGGCTATAAAGTCTAACATACGCTCAGATTTCAGCAGACTTTCCGGATTAGCATCATGAGTTGGGTTACAAAGAAGCAGTAGTGGCTTAATGGTGTTTATATTCTCATTTAATTCCTTCACAGAGTTTCCTAGAGATATAAGGTCCAACTTATTTTGTTCAGCAGTTGCATATACCTCTGACAACAAGTCGGGAACAATGACTTCGGGGACATTGTTGAGGCTACGCGGAACGCACAGTGATGTACGTATCTTCTTAGCTGAGTGACCCAAACTATTCTTACGTATGGAAAGTACTCGTTTATTACGTTGTGCCATTGCTGAAAACTAATCAATATGGTTTAAAGTTAAAGCCGAGCTAAATCGAAAACGGGTATATGGAAAAATAGTATATCGAGTGGATATACAGATTAAGTACTACTATGGATACCGTATGGAATTTTATTGCTTATAAATAAACAATAAATTTACAAAGTACTAAAAAGTAAAATACAGAGTATATAGAAACCAATTATCCTGTAAATTGATCCTGGTATGTAAACCAAAAAATGATGAACTTCTCTACAGTTTTCTTTTCTGTGACGTTGTTCTAAAGTTACAATAAGGAGGATGAGCCCTGCGAAAGAGTGGATCCAAACTTGATAACTGGCGGTGATATATCTGCAGAATTGGAAGCTAGAGTAGCAGCCAATATAAGTTATAGTTGAGCAGTGGTATAATATCCACTACAATATTCCAGAAATCGACAAAAATATATCCACGTTATGGGGAGAGATTGTAACGTCCGATCAGAATCGCGCGCGTTATATATATATACACAGACGATAGGGCAAGTCATCCATAATATCTTTCCTCATATGGAATAGCAATCCAACTCGAGACACAGTAGTATTTATACGAATAAACTGAAAAATTAAGTCTTCCTTACCTTCTGAACAACTTTTCCTTATTCCAACTAAGATAATAAGTGTCGTTCACGTATGAGCCTAAGTTATGTCTAAGAAATAGGAATACTGTAGCAATTAAATCTTCCCTCAAAATAAAGGCCACTTGAAGCACAAGTTCACAACGATACTACATATTATACCCATAGTGCTAAGACTTTTTGTCTTACATTGAAAATCAGACCGTAATGAGTACATGAAAACTGAAATTAGTGCTGAAATTGCATTATGAATACCAACTACTACCATATCATTTGAGACAATGGCGTCGCAATAAATGGGCCGAATATACCATTATACTTCCACGAAAATTCAAAGCTATACGTCTAAATTTTGAACTTCCTACCTCACTTAGTCCAACACATTGTGTAGATATCAGCTTCAAGCCAAATTTCCTGATACAGGTGCAGCAAATGTAACGCAGTTCAGGTACATAATGACGCCAACATTATGTGCACCAGAAAAGTTTTCAATGAAAAATTTCATTTAAAAAGAATGTAGAAGACATAACTTGTTACTAAACCAACATAGCAACGGACATTAACGCTACAATTAGCGGGGATATGCAATAAAGCCACTCGTCATCTTGTATATAAATTCCTCGTGCCCCTCGGAAGCGGCCCTCCTAGTGTTGGCGGTTCACCAGATCAAACGAATATGAGGGACTTTGCAGTTAAAGACAGCACAGCAACAGAGGTTCATGGCTTGCGATAATGGACGTTATTTGCCTCCCGGGTGCATTCATTCTTGTTCTGACGGAAAAGAGTGCATGAATCTTTACCACATCATTTCCACTCAGCAGTTATGTTTTCTACTTTATTTCCACACAGGCTATGTAGTAGACGTTATACCAACCTGGTGATCTTTTATTTTCTTGATTCCAAAAATACTACATTTACTTTAGACATGACAAAACGGTTCGGGTCAGTCAGTACACTGTGCATAAAATAGACAAAGGCATAGGTAGTATAGAGGCCAACTAAATCACTTATAACATCTGAATGGTCATAGAAAACCCTTCAGTAGAGGCCCTACAGTAGCATGGAGAAGTTTCAAATAAATACCCAGTTTTGTCATTTTCCAAATTTGTCTATATGAATCTAATCCTCTTTACTTCTCCGAGGTCCGAAAACTTGTCTAGAATTCATGCAGGCGAACTATGTGGCCTTTTATTTCACGTAGGCCCAATATCACGGCAACGCAACTGAAAGAGTTCCTAAACTGATCATTCAGCCCGATAAATAGACTGTGCACACTTAAACCTAACTAGTAAGTTTAAAACTGTGTATTTAAATAGTCAGAAAAATAACAAGTTGCAGAAGCCCAATTTAACTCAATGCAGACACTCCCTCCATTTCAAGAACCAGTCAACGGTATTCCGTTATTCCAATGACTTTTAAGAGAGTTGCCGATAAACATTATGGCGTTACTATCTATGAGAATAAAAATCCTAGGCAATGAAACGATAGCGTAGCAGTATATTGAAAAAAATACATTAGGCGAGTTATAGAAATTAATGCTTACTTGGTTATCCAGTTGAAGTCTGCTGCTACAAATTTTTTTGATTTACAGCCTGATTCCACACACTGTATTTTGTTACAAGTGTGCAATTTTCGGCATGGATATCAGTAGCCCAAATTTTGCAGGCCGACCATAGGTATCAGGTGTGCGTCGGCAGGGGACTGAACCTCGGACCATGTCCACGGTCGGCGAGAGCACTAATCACTGTGCCACCGACGCACACAAAATTATTAGTATAATACACAGAAGCATTCACTTCTGCAGTCGTGTCTACTAGTAGGGTTTGTCCGCCAGCTGTATAAGAGTCTTCAGATGCGGATGAGAGGTTCCTGAAAAATCCAAATGACATTACTCAGTTAGTATTGAAACAAGTAGACAGTGGACCAGTAAGAAGACGATGCAACAAACAGCGCGATGTATCTTAATTTTATTTCGATGTTATACATTTTGCACCCAGTCGTTTAAAGCAGAAGTTTTACACGGTGTTTCCATCAGGAACATCTAACAAAAAACTGCACACCCAGCTGTTCCAGATTCTAAAAACTAAAGTAAGAAGAGCGTAAGACAATTTCTTGAATATGACACTCAACCTAGCAAGTTTCCGCCAGAAACATCTAGAAAAATTCAAAGAGAAATTGAGATGATATACCCTGTGGGTCACCAGTTCGAGTCGATTCCAATTAAAAGTGGTGTCAGTGTACGTACTGTGGTCCTGTTGAAGTCATCTGTAATGATTTCCGGCAAGAAAATGCATGGCACATGACACTTCTCCTAAGAGGACGACAAAAAATCCGAACAACCAATTGATTATAGGTTTCCGACAAGCCCGTTTTGCTATATAGGGGCAAAATCTCAGGTTATAGGACTAAGGCATATCACAGACCACAAATTCAACATTTATCTATAAATACCCACTCTTCCTATGTTATGAGTGACATATAATTTTGGTTTTCTGAGGTATTGACAATTCCTTTGGAATACAAAATATTCTTCCCATAGGATTTACGATAAAATTTAAACATGCATATGGATCACATTGGTTTCTTACAGTAAGACGGTGTTTTGTTTAGGTTCGTTGCTGCCGGACCTCAAAGCCCGGCAAATTTGACTCCATAGCCTTGTTTGTGACAAAAGTTGGTTACGCATTTTCTAGGACACTATCTTTGTTTTTATATCATATTTGATGTATAAACTTGTTAGTCAACCATGAAGATATAAAAACCTTCAAGTACTTTCTTCCGAAAATATGTCTGCCAACTTTTTATATTCAAACACTGCATTACCGTCGCTTATAACACACCAACAGCAACAGCATCTAGTTACTCAGCGCAGCCGCTCAGCCTCAACATCCAACGCTGGACCGAACGTTCCTACTCAATACCAAGTTGCTCTAACACAACCATACCAAACTCTTGGACCAATGGATGGATCTTGGACCCAAACTCAAGGATTGTATGTAAATGGATTAAATAAAATGATGAATATCTTTCCTGGTCAAAATGTGACAGAAATGGAACAAACGCCTATGAGTCAGTCAAATGAGGTGAGTAGTTGACTAGCTTAGACTTTGCAAGTTTGTTTGCTGTTGCATGGATAAACAAGAACTGTTCAGACATTCTTTCTAGTGTTTTAAAGGCTTAATGTTTTGTTGAATTCTGTTTATGTACTTAGAAATGTAAAATTTCACTTTAAACCTATGCATTGTACGTGGCCAAAGCAGTCTGATTATCCCTTCGGCTATTTTATCTGTCTGTTGTCAGACAGACAACAGACATATTTTATCTGAATACTGAACAGCATAACCCTCAGAATTTCGGTGTTAATAAAGCGAAGTTAAACTATGACAGCCAACTCGATCGGTCCCACCACACTGGCTTTGAGCAACTAATCCAAATTAGGTTACAAAAAGACTTACAAAATCGTCAGAAATCACTACAGGTCATGATGTTCTAATGCTTCGTAAAGGACAGTTATCCTTTCAGGCTTCCCGTCTACATGCATGTTTTAGTGATTACACTCACTTCCGTATCTTGGAACTCGATAACCAAGTCCACAACTAAAAAGTCACAGTTTGATTTCTCTGTATCACTTTTGAATCGAATTAATTGTATAAAGGCATGTGCTGGAGTGGCTGCTGTAGTTCAACTTCTCCACAACCCCTTTGTATATCATCCCAGTAACAAGCAAAATAGAAATATTCCTAGTTATGTGCACCTACCCAATTGGAAATCCGTCACTAAGCTACTAATATTATACAGTTTATTGCATGAATACTAACCAGTCTCCTTTTTAGTTGAAGGATTTCATCATGAACTGACATCAGTTAGCGAACCATTGGAAAACCAGCTGGGAGTACTAGACAGTCGTTTCTTCCTGGTTCGTGACTCTTCACCAGTACTCGAAGTCCGAAAGGTCCTGGGTTCGAGCCCCTGTCGTGGGTACTGATGAAGAGTCCCAGACTAGTACGAAACAGCTGTCCAGTACTCCCTGCAAATTTTCCAATGGTTCTCTAACTGATGTCAGCTCATGATGAAATCCTCCGATCAATCGACCAAAATCTCTACAAAACCAATACGTGAAAAATTCCTTTTTATAAAACAAACATAAATCATCAGTTGAAGACTTCATGGATTAGTATCGTATCTCCATGTGATCGCTAGTAGCTTTCTCATGTTGAGTATGTAGAATGTGTCCCAGTAACCTAAGTCAGCGCTTCACTATCTCATCTGTGAACTTTTCTTAATTGGTATTCACTTAGAATACCTAAGGTCGAACACATGTCTTTGTTTCAGAGCATAACAGAAAGCAAAGGTTTGGCCTGAGACTTCAGTTTCGTTTCCGAGCTTTCGAATAACAGCTCAGAAATACTAATAATAAAGATGAACCCTATGTAATGACAACATATCTCATACGAGAAACCAACGATTTAAAGTAGATTATTGAGTGTGATTCTGCTCTGCATATGCTTTTTGTTTTTTAGGGTTTAATTAACCAGAACAGATTTTCCATGTATCAAGCCATTACCCACAATTATTTGTTGTGGAATGATGCAAACCAGTTGATCGGGCTAAAGTAGGTAAAGTGGGATTCAACCCCGAGAATTCCGAGTCTTTAGTCGTGCTAAATCCAGTGAGGCGACTCAGTCAAAAATGTATGTACATGCTGGTGAGTAATAGTGTCTCTGTTGAGACTCAGACCCAGTACCCGTCCTCCCAGACAGTGAAGAGTTTGGTTGGTTAGTTCGGTTAGTTATCTGTGATCAATATCTTTTGACCTCTGGAACTAAGCTACGGGGATATGCTTTTTTTACCCTGTTTATGATGTTTGAAATAAGTTTCCTAGTGGGAAGTTGAGAGTTCGCGCAGTGTATGTTTAACTCTTCTGATCAGTGGCCTGATATCCTTTTCTAAGAAGTTATCAGACACTTGTCTTCTCATTAAATCTTCCTACTTTGTCAGCGAAAACTACAAAAAACCGTAAAAAATTGCTGAGAATCACTTGTATTTATACTTTCCCTTCCCCCTTTTTTTTTTACTTTCCCTACCTATTGGTGCTTTCAGTCATTACAGAAAATGCTTCTTCATACTGTCAGCATTCAAGTTTCCTCTGATGACCGACTGTGGTGTTATTCTCCAATTGTTATCTCTGCTGTTGTATGCACGTCACCACTTTACTACGCTGGAACCTTATTTTCATGAAATATCATATCTGGTCTGAAGTTTCATTTAGAGTCACATGCGAACTTTTAGTGTCCATCTGTGCTAAATTAGTTAATAAGTTTTCCCAATCGAAAATGCATCTACAGCGAGTTTAAAAGACAGACATACAGGACCCATGTGTGATCATCCACTTAGCTTCACCCCACTAGGAAGATAAGACTACATATACCATGCTTCGAGCACATAGGTCTCCATGTATCCTTGCAGGTACAAGTCGTGTCAGTGTTTCAAGGAGTGTAACATGCTCTCCTCATAATGAGATGGAAAGTAATTAAACCAGTATAGTTTCTAATATTCTAGGGTCTGTTAGCATACAATGTCTAAATCATGGCAGCATCAGGTTTACAAACAATCCTGGAGCGTAGACATTGGCGATACTTCTCTGCACACGTTGATGGTTTGGGACTGCATCAGTCGAAATGTTTCATATTACTACTATTATTATATTATTATTATTCACTAACGGGGGCGCAATTCAAAAAATATCTGACTAAACACAAGACATGAATACTCGTGATTTCGTCAAGACTATCCAATATGGTTTCTGCATTGAATGATGTATATCCTATTTTTATTGCATTAATTTATCTCATTGACTGTTCCGGATTGTATAGGAAAGTGTGTGTTACCGTCTGGGTTTCATGTGACAACCGAAACCCAGTTTTCGACATTACGTATAATTGACTTAATGCCGACCCTAGTGGTGCGGGCACATTTATACCCTACCTCCATTTTAGTCGAAACAGCACATTTCTTTATTTGTCTTGTTCTTCCTCCTGTTATCTGTAAGCATTTTATGACCTGTGGTTACATGATTTCTCTCCCCCTTGTCTTCTCTTTTGCTATGTTAATTGTGCATATTAGCTGCATCAAATCAAGCTATCATACAGCATTGTTGTTGTTGCTGCTCCCTTTGGTTCCGAGTGGAACATAGGGCTTCGACAACACATCTCCACTTTGTTCTATTTTCTGCTGTCCATGCTTGCCCATGATCTCTCATCTCCTCCTTGCACGATCTCCTCCATGTTACCCTTGCACTGACGATCCACTAGTCTTTTCGGTTTCCACTCGAGCGACGGCTTGTATGATGTTATTTGACGGTTTTCTCAGTGGCATGTGCCCGATCTATTTCCACTTTATCCTGCATATTTTTTAAGCGATAGGCTCTTAGTTTGTTTCCATAGTTTCTTGTTGCTAATTCTTCCCAGTGGGCCATTTAATCTTCAATATTAAGTCAGCAAAGGCAACTGCTGATAAAAGTCTGCAACCTTTTGGAACTGCTTTTCGTGACGCGCATGCCAAGTTTCTGATCCATATAGAAGAGCTAACTGACTTCACGTTTGTGTTAAAAAATCCGAATTATATTCTTTATACTGTGGAGTACAGGAAATTTCCAAACTTATTTCAGAGTAATAAATGGCTGTGTTGCCTTTCCGATTCTAGCCAGCTTTGACATCTTCATCCGTTCCGCTAGCTTGTGGTTGGAACGATGCTTCCTAGCCGGATAAGTGAAGGAAGTAGCCTCTGTCAAATTTTTTCAGTTGACATTGATTGGTGCTGTTGGTTGGTGGGTATCTTCATCACCTCCGTCTTTATGTTCACCAAGAGTTCTGTCTTCGCTGAAAGCCTCTTTGGCCAGTTTGTTGCACTTCACCTGCCTGGAAGTTTTCGAGTTTATGTGACACTTAAAATAAATCATCCAGATCTTCTAGAGTCTTCTTATCGGTCACCGCAGCCTATTCTTATCTTCTCACTCCCTGTGCACAATCTTCCGCATAATCCAGTCCACGACAATTCCAGTATTAGTTTTATCTTAATAAATGTCTGTCTGTTGTCAAAACAGCGTCCAACAATCGTTATATTTCTTGACCTAAAGGCGGTATTCGCGTATGTCGACCGAGAGGTAATCTGGCGATGCTTGGCTGTGAAGGGAATGCCCAGAAAATACATTGCACTGATCAAGGCACTCTACTCGAACTCGTGAAGTCAGCCAGGTGAGAGCTTACGGAGAGTTGTCATCTAAAGTAGTGACAACTAGTAGTGTCCGACAGGGATGCCCACTATCCCTATTTTTATTCAATTTCATCATAAATGTACTAATGGACTTAACCTTAACTCAATTCAGAGATACAGGGATTGACTTGTTACCATCAGAGAATAATCTCGTTGACTTAAAATATTCAGAGAGTATAATCCTTCTGGGTGAAGACGCTGACAAAATGTAGAATCTTCTGAACAACTTGAATTGGAACCTACGAATGTTTGGCATGCGATTCGCTCCTGCCAAATCCAAGATGATTTTACAGGACTGGACCACACTAACTCCTAGTTTAGAAATAGGAGGTGAAGTGGTAGAGCACGTTGACCGCTTCACTTATTTGGGAAGTTGCATCAGCCGCAACGAGTTAATCTCTGACGAAATCTCAGCACGGATACACAAGGCTAGTTTCGCATATACCGGTTAACGCTGTCTCTGGCGCAGAGGTGATATCCGGCTGTCTATCGACCAAGGGACGTGTGTGTACTGCTCAGCAGTCTGCTCCGTCCTCCTTTATGGCTGCGAGCGAGACATGGTCATTGAGAGTGGAAGGCATGAAAAGCCTGGCTAGCTGTCTTTGATCATAGGTGACTGCGCTCCATCTCCCGTGTCAAGTGGTATAATAGGGTGAGCGATATTGAGGTTAGGCGTTGAGCGCTAGGTAGGTTGGAGGGGGAATCAATCGACGAGGCTGTGAAGTTACATCGACCGAAATGGTTAGGACATGTGTTACTTATGCCCTAGATATCGCCTTCCTCAACCGGCGGGCAATGTTAGCTGACATAGGGTTAGGTTGGCAAAGAGCCGGTGGTGGTCAAACAAAAACATGGCTTCATCAGTCAATAAAATCCACAACAGTTAATTTAAGCCAGTCACGTAGGAAGGTGTAGACTTCCTGACTGGCTGGTTGGGGTCCTCGAAATGGTAAGAACCAATGAAGGCTGGGGACAATTATCGGTGATATGGCTCAAAATCATTCTCAGTGATGGCGCAAATACATTGACTCTTTGTGATTTGTCATATCCAATAAAGCTCTATTGTTCTTCGATATTACTATTCTTTTTGCCTCATATCTCTGTTTACTGTTTTTATTTGGCATTTCTTTTTTTACTTTCCTCTCTGGCTGCGTGTGCTGAGTGAAGTGTGGCGACTCGAACTGCCGCACACCGGTGCGTGCAAAGCTCTATGTTGAGACCAGTCAGTCAGTTGGCAAAGCAAAATCTCAGAGATAATCAATCATCTATTCAACAGCATAATATTTTCAGGATGCACCTGAGATTATCTTTTTATCAGGTTCAATTTTTTTTTAAAACGGATTTCCATCAGTCACATGGTAGTATGACGTTTGGATTTTTATGATATTGTAAAGTCTTGTGTAAAAGGAATTAACTTATTCAAGTTTTAGTGTGCGTGTGTGTGTATGTGTGCGTGAGTGTAGGCTGGAACTATAAATAGTCCTTTTGTATTATTGACTCGTATTGACTTCCTAAGAGAAACATTTCATCTAAACTATACACACACAAATGACCAATAACTAGATTGTTGTAGCCAAAAGTGCCTGCATGTGAAGAAGCTATTAGATGTCTACTGACAAGTGATGCATGACTTTATGAAGTTAGATGACATATTGTTTCTTCTTCTTCATCTCATATCTTTAAGAGAGCTCTAAAAATGTCATTCTGATCCAGAAACAAATCAGCAATTATGCGAGTAACGTGATTTAAAGAAAGATATGTAACAATGATTAAAAAAGACATTTGTGATTCCTTAAAAATATGCACATATTTGGTACTTTTTTGATTACAGCTTGATTCCACACCGTATTTTTTGGTACAGGTATGGAATTTTCAGCATGGATATCAGTAGCCCAAATTTTGCAGGCCGACCATAGATATCAGGTGTGCGTCGGTAGGGGATCGAACCCCGGAGTATGTGCATAGTTGGCGAGCGTCCTAACCACTGTGCCACCGACACACGCCACGTAAATTTATGCTGCTACGAATGAGTTAGTTATTCTTAACGACAGAACTAGTGGGCATCTGCTTAAGATCGTTGACACATACTGTCGTTTTATTTAGTTGATTAGACTGTTTCTATACCTTCATTGGATATTATTTTTGATACTTGTATTCTCTGAAGTCATTTCATCTGTTATGAGGCAGGTTAGTACTCATTTAACTTAAATATGACATACCAAACCTCTACAGTTGATACAAATCTTGACGTCTTATCCCCTACTGGTTGAAACCAATAAGCTACAGTTAATCTTTTTTTGTGAATGCCTGTTTTTTGGATTTCGCCTACTTGTTGAGTATACTTCTTGTATGTGAACTGCTCTTATGCGGAGTTAGTTAGAACCCCCTCCCCTCAGGTTTCTGCAGCAGATTTTCTTATACACCAGACTATGAGCCACACTTATTGTGTAAATGCCGATTTTACTACCCAGTTGCTCAGGTAATACAGGAAATGGGGTTACATTCCAACCAAAAGCTTTTAATGCAATAAACCACCTTGAACACATAAAAAAATCTTGTGAAGTTCTGTATCACTATTTATTCTTGTACAAGAGAAGTACTAAAAACCAGTCAATTATATGCATTCACCTAGGCATAGGGTCCGGTTGGAAAAGAGCCAGTGGTGGTCAAACAAAAACATGGCTTCATCAGTCAATGAAATCTCCAACGGTTAGCTTAAGCCACGTAAGAAGGTGTAGACTTCCTGACTGGTTGGTTGGGGTCCTCGAGACTGTAAACACCAATAACTGGAGACAACTGGTGATATGGCTCAAAATCGCTCTCAGTTGTGGTGCAAATGCATCCACTCCTTGTGACTTATGATTTCTAATGAAACTGTTTTGTTCCTCTTTATTACTATTCCTTTTGTCTCATATCTTTATCTGCTGTCTCTACTATTCATTTCTTCTGTTTTCTTCTCTTTCTTTGCGTGGTACACGGGGAGGGGGGAGAAGTGTGGCGATTTGAACTGCTGCACCATCGGTGCAAAGTTCTATGTCGAAAACAGGTAGATACACAGATCCACCTAGGCATGCTGAAAAATCCTGCTTCTAAACTTATTGTGTTTTCGAGAATCTGGAATCTGGGGTTTTTCGGTGACTCATCGCTGCTTCCGTGGAAATGCTTGCATCCAGCCATATCACTGAGTAATCCTAAAGTCCAGTAGTGTGTGTTTCAACTCGGTGGGGATCGTCTTTCATTAAATGTTATTATCATAGAACACTGGCTTTGGTGACTTGAGCATGCATTATAAATATCATTCTAGCGACTTCTGTACTGCTGGCTGTTCGCTAGCCCTAGGACTGGGTGAAAAAGGCGGATGGTTAGTCAGACTGTGACGTGGATCTATGAGCTGAAGGATAGTTGCGTCAAGTTAACATCTGTTTATGCATCAGAACTCCCTGGGCGATTTGGTCCGAGTGACAATTTGATTCAGTAGCTCAAGATATGTGGCCGAGAATCGTAATCAATGACGAACACACTGTATATTTTTCTCTAATTCCCTTTCTGAAAATAACTTAAAGTAATGAAACATCCTTTGAATAGCTTTGATAAGTATGCTTACTCGCTTGCCTATTCCTCATTCTATTCATATTTCCTTGAAAGTTTATTATTCGTGTGTGTGTGTGGTGTGTTTCATATTGCGTATTATTTTGGTACCATCATTTAGTGCCTGAATAGTTTAAGTTACCACTACTTATTACACTGCAAAACTCAGTTTTACATGTGTGTTTTTAATTTAAATTATTGTCAATATACCTTTTTTTGAAAAAAATTATTTTGCTATATAGAATTATAAATATTCACCTAACATCAAATTGAACAATTTAACTACACAATCATATGCTCATTCTTTCCAGCCAACAAATGGTAATACTGCTGGGAATCATGGATCTGTTACACTGACTGCTGCACCACAAGTTCATTTTGCTGTAGCAGCCACTCCGAATGGTTTAGTTCAACCGCATACAGGCCTACAAAATCCATCTACATCTATGCGTTCTGATCAGACAACTGTTCTGCATTCAACCTCTCAACATCCATCTGGTCAACCATTTCTTATTCCTGGAATAGTTGGTCAACAACCGCCAACTTTACGAACATTAACACAAGACAATTTATCACCATCTGTCTATAATAACAGAGAGCCTGGTTCTAATCAACAGTCACTTTTGTCATCAGGTACAAAACAGACAAATAATAATCTTAACAGTGTAAACAATACACGTGATCTACACACACGACTAATTGATAATGCTTCAATAAATCAATCGGCCTATGTAGCCTCTGTTCCAGTTCAACAGCATCCTGTTGTATCACATCCTCATCATCATCAGTTGTATACAAGTCCTACTACACTACAACCACCACCACCGCCATCTTTACACGGTATGGTCGAGTATGTCCAAGCTGTTTATCCAACTAATCCAAATGTTCATGCCCCATATAGTCAACAACAATCAGCAACAGCTATATTTAGTCATTATCCTGCACAAATGAATACTGCATTCGATTCAACCACAATGCATACAAACTTTAATTCACGTGTACGTCATAATACATGGACTACTACTACTACTACTGCTACTGGTCTTGAAGACAATTCATCCACTATTGGTAATCATGATTCATCAATTCGAAAATTAAAAAATGATAAAATTTTAATGCCAAATGATTATGCAACGTCGTCTACACTGAATGAATATAACATGAATTCGCATGGTTCATATTCACAATATCCTCTTACTGGTCCATATTTTACTGGTTTTACTCAATCGTCTTTTTATCAACCGGATAGTAGTCAACAAAAAACAGATTTGACTAAACAACAACATCAGCAACATCTACCGCCTGGTTCTATTACATTCCAATCGCATAATGAAGCACAAAAACAACAACATGCATGTAGTAGTTATCAAAATCCTCAAGCTTCTTTACAGTATAATTCTTCTATAGCAGCATCAATAACTAATAATGATATTTCGTACATCACATCTGTTCCTATGGGTCAGTTACCGGCAAGATCTACTTACCATCATCATCATCATAATATGCACAACAGTTCGTATTTACCACCTCCATCAGGAGGGGGTATTGGTGGTGTTGGTGGCCTGTCTTGTTTACCTGTTCAAAATAACAATAATTATAATGCTAATCATAATCAGTCTTTACATACGTATCATAATAATAATATTTACAATCCGGAGAATTTGAATACGACTGCTACTGCTGTCGGCGCCAGCGCCATCTCCGGTGCTGCGGCTACTACTACTACTAACGTACAACAATCATCTTATCCTGTAAAAGATAACTATCCTCGTGGAAATCATAAACCACGTGAGTGGAATAAATCGAAAGAAATAAATCATCATAGTAAAAATTTACAGAATTCACTTCATTCTCGTTTAAATAATACTACTAATAATACCAATAATAATAACAGCAGTAATAATAATAATATTCGATTGAAAAGCGGGAGTAAGAGTTTTGCATCAGATAAACAACCTGTTTTGTCTGTTGATCGTAAAATGACATCTAACTCTGTAGGCGGCAATAAATCAAGTGGAACAGGAAAACAAACTATCACTTCAAATCATCATACAACTGCAACAAATTTCATTCCGTCAGGAGGAGGAGGTCCAAGTCTTATCATACCTTCTAATCCTTCGTCTACAGTTTACCATGACTTCAATTCAGCTAGTCGGGGGAATACAAGAACAGATCATGTGGACTATCATCAACATCAGCATCCTTCACAGCCTTATGTCAATTCATATGCTAGTAGTGTAAATCAACAACCGTCTATGCCTACTGAGCATTGTATTAATGGTGGTGGCGTTGGTGTTCTACCAAAACATTTACAAAATTATCAACCGCCTGTTACACATCACAATAGTCTGTTGCCTAGTTGTATTCAAAGTCTTCCAGAAAATTTTTTAGCAAGTTTAAAATTAAGCGGTTTCCGTCTTGTCTTGGACTCTTGTCCGACGAGGTGAGTTATATCATTAGATATTATGTTTGATAAACTAGAAAGAGTTGAATTTCTATTCTCTCCAATGTAATCCTTTTCATCGGACGCTTAGTAGTAGTCCTTTGATTTAAGACGTTGAAAAATTAAGAGTAGGATAACCAGGTGTTCAGCATTAACACACAAAAAAATCAATTTCCCCCCGAAAAAATTGTATAGAGAAAGATCTATGTGATTCGGGATATTTTATGCGAAAATGGGGATATCCATAACTTGGTAAAAATTGGTACAAACGTGATCTGATAACGGATGATACACCTACGGAGAGATTTGATTCCCCAATGTCTGTTTAAGCAGATCAACTCTGAACATATTTTCATATTCTTCGGTAGCTGTTGTTGAATGTTCTCCTAGAAACTAAAAGACATTTTACCTAATTTTTGTGAAACATTATCACTGAAAGTGGGAAGATACGAAAAGGCTAGATGTATTTGATAATAGCTGTCTGCGCTCTATCTCTCGTGTTAGGTTAGGCTTCGGTTGGTTGCTAGGTAAGGAGGAGAAGTCAGTCGACGAGATTGTGAAGTTACACCGATTGAGAGAGATGGTTAGGACATGTGCTCCCCATGCATGCTTAGTCATCCATCGTCTTTCTCGACAACGGGCAACGTTAGCTGCTGACATATGATGGATCAGGTCAGAAAAGAGCCAGCACGTGGTGGTCAAACTGAAACATGGCTTCGTTAGTCAGTGAAATCCATAACAGTTAGTTCGCACCAGCCAGTCACGGAGGGAGGTTTAGACTTCCTGGCTGGTTTGGATCGTCAGGTTGGTAAGAACCGACGACTGGAGACAATTAGTGATATGCTTCGAAATCGTGGCACAGATGCATTCACTCTTTGTGATTTGTTGTATCCAATAAAACTCAATTGTTTTCCCATATTAATACTATTATTCTTTTTGCCTCACTCACACTTCTGTTTATTATCTGTCTCTCTTTTGAACCTCCCTTTACTCTCTTCTCTTGTTTTTTTTTGTGGTACATGGATAGGGAGTGTGGTAACTTGAACTTCAGCACATCTGTGCAAAGTTATTCTACGTTGAAACCAGTCCGGTCGAGTCACCTTATCTTTGATCGTCCTCATGCATATGCTGCCCTTTTAACTATATCTGCGCTTCAAGTTATGTAGTGTACGATTAGTGCCTAGTCAGTCAGTCGTCTACGCCACATTCGACAATCTGATCCACAGAAGGGGTGAAATTAAATGCATCAGTCGTATCACATTTGGTAGACAGACACACAGGAGATCATATAGATAGATACTAGCGTAGCCTTTAGGGTTATGTACAAATATTCCTGAAATATTATCACTATCACACACAGACAGTTCACCTACGCTTTCTACATAATACCTGAGACGTACAATTTTGTATTCAGAAAGAACACTTTCAGATGTTGTTCCTATATTGTGTGTTACGAAGGTGACTGAGTCTTGGAACGATGAGTGATGCTTGAATCTTGAAAAGACGAATGAACCAAGAATTTAGGCTTTATTCAGTTAACAATGAAGCCGGAATGGCTTAAATGTATAAAGGAAAAAAGGCGTGTCAATAGCGGTAGAGATAGGAATATGATTAGATACGTATTATAAGAAAAATTCACAACATCGTGACCATTTTTTTTGATTAAAAACTTCATTTGGTTGTTGTCAGCACAACTTTTCAAAAGAAACTGTATGTTTAAAATATCTACTCTGAGAATTTATTGATTGTATATAAACGTAATGTGTTACAATATAGTAAATAAGAATATAGTACAGCGGGTCGGGTGTGAGTACAAATACTCACCGAAGACATTGGCTAGCGGTCGCGCTATGTCGTAAATTGGCAGAAGTTAGAATTCATGGACCATTGCATCGAGTCCCAATGGCTTAATGGTATACGAGCTCGCCTTGTAGGTCCTGGGTTCGAACCCTGGCGGTGGGTGCGTACTGATGAAGAGTCCCGAACTAGGCTGACGAAACAGCTGTCCAGTACTCCCAGGTTTTCCAATGATTCTCTAAGTAATGTCAGCTCATGATGAAAATCTTGTAACCAATCAACCAAAATCCCTACAAACCAACACTTGAAAATAAGAATATATTTTATTTCGATAAAGAAAGAAAGACCAGATTTACCGTATAAATCGATATCATCATTCTATTTCACAGGTCCTCATCAGCTGCTGCCATTGACTACCTGTAATTATGCAATGGTTATAAATAATGACAATAACATACTTAAGTGTTTCTCTGGGAGTTGATAAAACATTTTATAAGATTAACAGGTCTGAAATATAAGCATTACAACTGGCTTTAATTTAAGTTATCATCAATTCGTGTACGTTCAAAATAGAAAGGCGTGCGGGGAGGAGAAGATGGAAAACCGAAAAATCTAATAAACAGTGTTAGCATGTAGAGCTGGCTAACAGCAACTCAAGAATGTTATAGTTCATAAGACTGGAATTTGCTCAGTAAGCTATAAAATCACTAATATAGATGACTAATCTAAACGCAGTTACCAACGGAGAGAGAAAGAGAGACTAATTACACTCTTTCTATGTATACAGAAGTTTGGTTTGTAACATTTGATTGCGATTGCTTCAGCAAAGTGTGGTAAATTTGCTGTCCTTTGTATGTTTATGCTTTTGAAGAATATAGAAATCTCAAGGAAATGGTCCGTATCCATTAGGTGTCTGGTAATTGCACTTTACGAATATCTGCTTCCTTTTAGGCATTAGTTTATTGGGTTTTGTCCTGAAAACTAGACAGAAGCACTTCTTTCTGTCCTTCCAATATACTTGCTCTAGCAAGTGCACGTAAATTTATAAACGTAGTTGGTGACAGCAGAGTGCTTATCCAGTTTGGATTGGCTTATAGAGCATATGGTGCTGTGTAGGTATGGTTGAAAAATCCATCTACGGAAAAGAAACCTAGACCGAACAATATCTTCACCATAGCAGCTTCTATCCCATAAGCTATAAGCAGGGATTAATTAGTAGTGAGGACACTGTACGACACAGGCAGGAAATGATGTCCGCCTAACAAGTCAGAAAAAGAATTAGGCTTTGTTGAGGAAATGCCTAAAGGAAAAATGGGTATCCATAAGGATTTATTCAAAACGTATGGTAAAAAAAAGGAAATTAAAATGAAACGTGCAATTGTTGAAAAAAGAAAGCATTCATTTGTCTGCCATTCAAAGGAGAAGCAGTATCAAAAAAGATTGATAAGGAAAGTTAAACTCCTGGTAATCGAAGGTGGAAAACATGAAGAGGCTGGTTGGTTGTCTTTGACCTTAGGCGCCTGAGTTCTGTTTCCTGTATTAATTTGGCGTGATATGGTCAGTAATATCTGTCTGTCTGGATTCAACATAGAACTTGGCACCGAAGTGCAGCAGTTCGAGTTGCCACCTTCCAAATAGCACACAGGTAGACAAGAAGATGAGTGAAGAGAATCAATACAGTCTGACAAGTATAAGGGTGAAACAGAATGGGTAATGGTAGAAAGGAATATGAAAGATTAAAGAGACTGAATACATCTGCGCTGGCCATTGACAACGATTTTGAGCCATGTCACCTATTGTCTCCAGCCATTGATTCCTAGAGTCCCGAGGGCCCCAACCCGGGAGTCTGCATCTCCCTACCTTACTCAGTTTAACTGTCAATGATTTCATGTATTGATGCCATGTTTTTGTTTGGCCACCACTGGCTCTTTTCCAACCTGAACCTATATCAGCTAGTAATGCCCGTCGGGGGAGGCGGTGGTTAGGCATGCGCAGCACGTGACCTAGCCATCTTAGTCTATGTAACTTTATAGCCTCGTCGATTGATTTTCCCTCTTTGCCTAACACTCTACGCCTAACGTCAACATTACTTACCTTGTGAAACCACCTAACGTGAGACAGAGATCGCAGACATCTATAATCGAAAGCAGTCAACCTTTTCATGTCTTCAACTCGTATTGGCCATGTTTCAGAGCCATAGAGAAGGACGGGGCGAACTGCTGGGCAGTACACACGTCCCTTGGTTGATAACCGGATGTCACGCCTACGCCAGAGATGGTGTAAGTCAGCGAAAGCAGCTCGAGCTTTTCGGATCCGTGCTGAGATTTCATCGCCAATCAGTCCGTTGGTTGGTGCTAATACAACTTCCCAAATAGGTGAAGTGGTCAACATGTTCTATCACTTCACTCCCTATCGCTAAGTTAGGGGTTGACGTGGTCCAGTCCTGTAGCAGCATCTTACATTTTGTAGGGGAGAATCGCATGCCAAACATACGAAGTTTGCTGATCAAGGTGTTCAGAAGACTCTGCATTTTGTCAGCATCCTCCCCTAACAGGACTATGTTATCATCAGTAATATCGAGATTAGGTGGTATAGTGTTAGGTCGGAGTCGGTGAGGTATTAAGATGACTAGGATATGTGTTGTGCTGCTTGTCAAGCCACCACCTTCCTCTATTTGGGTGCTAATGTTATGTGACATAAGGGGTTGGATTGGAAAAGAGTCAGCGGCAGTCAAATCAGCTCCTGGTATCACTCCATTAAGTCAGTTGATTGACAGTTGATTCAAACTACATAGGGAGGTCTGGAATGCCTATCTGGAGACTCCGTGATGCTAATAGCTGGCGTCTAGAGATTATTAGTGATATATGGTTCGAAATTGTTCTCAATAGCTTAGATTCATTCAATCTTGATAACCTCTAAGATTATGTTTTTCCTTCTCCCTCATATCTATGCGTATTATAGTTGTCTTTTTTTGAAAAATTTCTTTTTCCTCTCTTCTCTGCCTTTGTGTGTGCTACACATTGAACTGTGTAACAACTTGAACTAACTGGTGCATTTCTGTGCCTACCAAACCCTGTGTTAAAACTCAGCATCAATAGCAATAATAAAGCGGCCGTTCATTTTCTCTCAAGGTTTTAAATATTCTTTATTGTCATCATGGTACTAAGAGAAATTTAATTAACCGCACTTAAAGCCTGATTCTTGCTTATTTATGCTATTATTATTAGTTTCACTATTATGTTTATTTCGCTTTTGACCTTTTCTGATCTTTCTAATGAATTTTATGTGCGTCGGTGGCACAGCGGATAGTATGCTCACCAACCATGCATGTGGTCCGGGGTTCGATCCCCGGCCGACGCACTCCAGAAGCTCTCTAAGCCATAAATAGAAGCTGGTGAAGAGGAAAGCTTTGGCATCAGGCTGGCTAGCGACTTCATCCCGTAAAAATAAACACTCCTACAGAAAGTTCAAGCCTCTAGCTTGAAGCCCTATGTTCCACTGGGAACGTGAAGGAATAAAAAAATTCGAGTGACCCCAGCCAGGAGGTGGTCTGCATCTCTCTCTTTCTCTCTGTGACTCAAACCAGCGGTCAAAAATGCCAGGTTTTTGTTTTATTTTGATCACCTATCGCGACTTATCCAACCTAGTCCCACATCAGCTAACATTTCTCACTCGTCGAGGAAGGTGATAGTTCGGCATCTGACACCTGTCCTGGCCATCTCAAACAGTCAACCATTTAATAATACACATTGCAAGATGATGATAGGATAACTTCGTCTTGTCAGTATCAAAATATATTGACCTTGACAAGATGATTAGTTCTTACCTTCTGCGATCCCATCATACACCCTTAACCTTCCTGAGGTGGCATATAAGATGAATCAGCGATAAAAAGTATTTTATAAGTTGATCACGGATTGACATCAGCTAGAGAACCATTGAAAACCAGCCACAAGGAGTACTGGACAGCGGCTGTTTCATCTCATTTTGGGAATCATCGGCAGTACGCACCCACCCAACTGCCAGGGTTCGAACCCAGGACCTTCCGGTTACAAGGCCAGAGAGCTCGTATACCATCCAGCCACTGAGACCCGATACCTCAACGGCCAGCCCATGAATTCTAACTCCTACCAATTCGTGATTTAGCGCGACCCCAACCACTGTCGTAGGTGGGACATCCATCCTCACACGTGACATCTGGATGGATGTCGTGACCAGTGAGGTCCATCCAGAAACAGCCGCTGTCCAGTACTCCTTGTGGCTGGTTTTCAATGGTTCTCTAGCTGATGTCAATCCGTGATCAACTCGTGAAAACAAAACTAACCCTTACAAACCAAATTATAGATAAAAATTATATCTAAAAAAACATGAAATGTTTTGTTCAGAAAAATACCTGAAGTATTTCTGAGTCAGTTTTGATTTCTTTTTCATTTCAAGTAAGTCACTTAGTAAGTTAGAACCTTACTTACCAGTTACTTATTATCAACGTAATATTTCATTTGTCTTTTTCTTTTTTTATAGAATGTTACTCAGTACCTCGTTAGTTGGTTCAGTGATTGGTCGAGGCGGTAGAACTATTCGTCAGATTACAACAAAGACTGGGGCTAAAATAGGCTTGAAACAAGATATCATTGCCTTTTCACAATTCTCTCTACCAGGAAAAGGCAGAAAAACATTCAAACCCGCAGCAGATCCCGCTAGTAGTGAGAGTAGTAATAATGATATTACTACAACTGACACTGTCATCAGTAATAAGGCAGGAGAAGAAGAAGAAGGGAGTGATGAGAAATATCAGTCACCTGACAATAAAGACACTTCTACTACTCCAAGTACTACTGACAATAATCCAGAAGATGATGATGGTCAGCCAACAGAATCAACCGCAAATCCAGTCAGTGAATCTGAGTCAACAGCAGCAGCAGCCCCACCACCGCCACCTCCACCACCAATGAATACGCTTCAATCTAAGCTAGAAATTCAATCAGACCAGAGTCAACTTGCTGTCCTCTATGGATCAAGAGAACAATGTTCCGCTGCATTGTATGAAATTCTTACTATCTGTTTCAGGGAATCAAAACATCGTGGTTTCTCTGATCCATGTTTAGGCCTACTTGTTGAACAACAAATTTATAGTCAGTTAGTTATGAATAAAGGTAAAAAATATTTCAATGCTATACACGCTGCTACAGGAGCACGTATATCAGTAACTGGGTAAGTTTAATATGTGTTTTCTTTTAAATATTCGTTTGCGTTCCCCAGTGGAACATAGGGGACTTCAAGCTGGAGCTTTGACGTTTCGGTAACCAGTGGCTTTAACTTAGCAGGGTTGGGATTGCTGGTCTCACGCACCCAACCTCCTCTCTTTGCTAGGCTTATTAACAGCCAAGGTGGAGGTTTAGGAATGCGTCGACCGGGGATCGAACCCTGGACCACGTGAGTGACTGGCGAGCATTCTATCTCTGCGCTGCCATCGCATAAGTTTATATGTACATTGTATCAACTATGTAAAATAACAATAATGATAATAATAATTATTATTAATATACAGACTTAGTACATCGTGGCACCAAGCGATGCGCCACACAAAATCCCATGTCTTATGCGAGAGCTGGGATACTGCCTGGGCACCCAGATCAAAGCAGCAGCAGGTCGATATATTAAGAGGGCACCCTCTCCTTGAGCCTTTGAATTGAGCTGTCTTATCCGCAAGGCAGTTGGTCAGTGTTAGGAGCTGCGCGTGCCATTGGTTTCGGGTGTGTAAAACAAGTTCATAGGCGGTCATTCGATCCTCTCGGACTTTGGAGCCCATGTACATCATAGGTTTGAAATGAGGGTTTCTCCCCTCCCCCTCCTAGGTAGATCTGCATATTCACCAGTCTGATTGGTAAGTTCCAGACGTCCAAATTCGCCCTTTCACTTGTGATGAAGGCAGCCAATAGGAATTTTCGAGAAGTAGACTGAAGTCTACCCACTCTTGGCCCTACCAGGTCGGGAGCAAATGAAATAATGAAAGTAATTCATTGAATTAGAATAAAAGGACAAGACATGAATCGGTGTAGTTAGACTGGAGACATTTCTTTTTTTGGTAACATCTTATGGAGCTCTGTGATTTATTGGTGTCTGTCTAGGTGTTGGGCTTCCAACCAGGGGTTGTTCACAGGTTCGAACTCCTCTCCACCTACCTACAGAGCTTTAGACAACCAAGTGGTATTATAAACGCTGACATGGTAGGTGTAGCTCGTTGTCAAATGCATTATAATGCAAATAATTATTAAGTAACATTCCATTTTGTTGTACATCTCCTGGTGCCTATAATGTAACAAGTTTGGCTTCCGATTAGGGGACCTAGGGCTCCAACAAGACGTCTTCAATTCATCCTGTTGTCCGCAGTCCTTTTTACTTGGCTCTACGATCGCCCATAAGCTCTCATCTCCTCCCCACACGATCTCCATACCACCTTTGAGTTACCCATCTATTCGTTTCTCACTCGGTCTCCACACAAGGGCCTGGTGGCGCATCGTGTCAGGCAAATGGTCTCCTCAGCGTGTGTCCAATCCATCTCCCTGTAAATAACATGGTGTGAAATTTGATAAGACAGAATTCAACATTGTAAAAAATTTTGAATTTAAAATGACAGGTTGGACAAGTGGAAACAGTCCAAAGTGAGAATAGTAATAATGATAATGATAATCGTAGTAATAAGGAAAAGGTACATAGAATAACTAAATAGAAAAAATAAATAGATAAATGTCTACTATCCCTCTACGGCCAAGGCAGAAGTAGGGATTGTTTATACTTCTTTTGTACTCTAAGGTCTGACTTAAATTAATGAATGGCCAAGGTCTTTACTGTCTTTCGAAGTCTATAACGAAGAAGACGCGGCCGGCAAGTTAGCATGAACTCGATAGATGATCTTAAAATCATGGTTAGGGTCGGTAAAGTGACAGAAGTATCCCACAGTAGAGCTTCGCATACCCTACCTTCCTCCTTTGTAAAACTATGCTGCTGGAATATGTTCTCGTATCCTTGTGGTGGGAAGCGTTCTTTGGCTACGCCCAATGTACCTTGCTCCACAAGAGCAAATGAACTGATAGATGCACATGGAGAAGGCCTGACAGGGAAGCTTATCCTCTACAGAGATGCAGAATAACAACTTGCGCCTAGTGAACGCCATTTGTAGTTTTTCTGCAAAGAACATCTTACTGACTGCTTTAGAGAGAGGATTTTTGAGCATATCTGAACCCTGATGATCACTTTTGAATTCCAAATTCATGAATAAGGTTTTCTTTGAAACTGTATCGGTGACCAGTTTGAACTGGTTATCTTTCGTGTTACTGTCAATAAGTCGGTTCGGGTAACCGTTTTCTGAGAGCGAATGAATTAAATCCTTTTTCTTGGAGATAGATACACCCGACTGTAAAAATGAGTTAGTTGTCCATCCCACTTGTTTCACCACTTTGATAATTTAACTATGCGTATAATCACAAATATTTTAAGTGCATTTCATACTATGATCATTTTATGCATTCACACCTTTGTTTAAATTTCGTCACAGGATATATAATTCCATAATATAAAAAAGCCATGTATACATACGATTGTACAGCTCCATAGTAAATTCGTCTTTTAGAGAGAGTTTCTCTTTACTGAATATTGTGTTGTTAATGTTACACCGGGGAATTATTAAACATTACTATTTCCCTCTTTCATCTCTTTCTTAGTACACCTGTGCAAATCTCTTCTACCTCTTCTTCTACTTCGTCGTCGTCTACTGATGGTAATGATGCTGAAAAGAAAAGCAATACCACCGGCAATACAGATCGTGTACTAGTTGTTCGTGGTCATTTAAATGCCATATGCGCCGCTGAAGCATTTCTCAGTGAACAAATACGTTGGGCAACAATTGAATCCGTAATCCCTTCGCATTTTTGGCCTTTACTCAATCATTTGCCTCCTGTACCACAAGTGAATAATCATAAATCATCAAATAATAATAATACACCGTTTAGTTATGATCCACAATCTGTATGCTCATTGATTATGTCCTTAGGATCAATATTTTGGCCTCAATCAGTTTGTGCGAAATTGGGGAAGAATTCTTCCTTGCAATGTTATAATAATAATAATAAACGATCTGAAGTTCGAAATACAAATCTCTCGACAAATTCTAACAGTGGTCTGCCAGAAAATGATACAACGAATACTGGGAACACTGTCAGTCCAGTAAATATTCATGATGATGAGGAGGAGGAGGAGGACGTCGACGATGCCGATGGCGATGATGCTGATGTTGTAGGAGAGGAGAATCATGAAGAAGACTTGGAATATGATGCCAAAACACTTGTCAATGAGGAAGATAATCTTAGCGAAATGAACTCCGAGGAAGTAATACAAGAAGGTATTGACGATAATCCCATCAATGACAAGGATAATGTTGATGATGATGATGATAATACCAATAACACCAATCTTCATTTGGATAACACTGATCTGTCATCAGAGGATATTAATGAAATTACGGTTATCTCTGTGTCAGCCTCGGATATGGAAGATAAAGATGAAGTGATGACAGTTATAGAGGTAACTGACAATGATAAAAGTAAGCAATGCATACTTTATTGTCAAATTTCTTTATAACATTATTATTATTATTAATATGATTTAGAATATTAAAAACTCTATAAGTATTAAATCTGTTGCCCGATCTCTCCATTTCTCTTTAACTTTTTGCCATCGATGACATTCTGGAGTCAGCTCTGAAGGATGTGTGTGAAGGTGGTGTAGATCTGCTACCTGGAGATAGACTTTTCGACCTTGAGTATGCAGACGATATCGTCTTACTGTACGATAGCATGCAGGCTGCCTAAATCGCACTTAATCAGTTGGCGATCAGTGTCTGTAAGTATGGCATGTACTTTGCGCTGTCTATAAGTGTAAAGTACTATTACAAGATTGACAGTGGCCTGTACCTGCACTCACTCTTGTGGGTGAACTGCTTGAAGTTGTTGATAAGTTTGTGTATCTGGGTAGTTGTGTGTGTGTGTGTGCTGGCGGAGGGGTGATGGATGAGATTTCCAACCGTGTATAATGAAGGCTAGGGTGGCATACATCAACTTGAGCCACCTCTGTAGCCGTCGCGATGTTAGCCTGGCTGTCAAAGATCGGGTATACAATGCTTCGCTGCGGACTGTCTCACTCTACACCTGTGAAACCTGGCCTCCCCGGATGGGCTGAGGATGTGCAGCGACGACTCTGCGTGTTCGATCATCGCTGTCTCCTCAGGATTGCCTCCGTTCGCTGGCATCATTGCGTGAGTAATTCCGAGGTTCGGCGGCGTGTGTTTGAACACAATGGGGATCACTATTCATTGAGTGTCGTCATCTGGAAACACCGACCAGCTTCGGTGGCTTGGACATGTGCTCGGAATGTCATCCTAGAGGCTTCCGCATAGGACTTTGTTCACTAGACACCTTGGGACGGGATGGAAAAGGCGGCGGGGTGGTGGTCACAGTCCATGACGTTGCGTCGTGGGATAAGGAGTGTTTGTGCTAGATTAGCATCGGTCGATGCGTCACGACTCCCTGGTTTGGGTCCGAGAGATAGCTCGAAACGTTATCGGATATGGTCAAGAATCGCAGTCATCAATGGCGAATGTGTTGGAATTTCCTTCTTTCTTCCCTTCCCGATGATAGTTGACGAATACTGTTTAAACTTGTTAAGTATGACTGTTTTCCTTTCAGATGAAGTTCTTTATCCTTTCTCTACTTATATTTTTTTACTTTTGATCTATGTTGTTTTATTATTATTGTGTGGCGCATCCTTCTTGGTGCAATATTGTATCAAGTTTTTTCTGCGTTTAAATAAATAATAAATAAATAAAACGGTGAGTGGTATGGGGACTGTTGTGATAACTGACTGATAACGGCTACAGTGACGTGGTGAACCGACTTGCATATTGCAATGAGTGACTCAATCAGCTATGTTGACTGGAACTATTGTTCCTAGCAGTCCTACCCTGCCAGAAAGGTTGTTAGAATAATGATTGGACTAAAAGCAGGTACTATCATAGTGTAAGATGTTTACATTGTTGGGGAACAGAGATGTAATATTATTAATGTGTGTTTCCCTCAGATGGTCAGCATGCTAGATATGTTGCCTTCCTATTCTGGAAGGGGGTTAGAAAAAGTCGACGCTGAAAATTGTACATTACGGTGGTCCGTAACGGACGGAAAAATTCTAATACGGATGCAACTCCAAAAACCACTCTAAACAGACCGTGTGTAAGTGGCTTCAAGCAGTTGTCCTATGGATTCTGCAGTTATACAACACTGATTATCTGTCTGCTTCAAGTACCCTGAGAATCAGGAATGAAATTTGTGGTAAATATCCAAGTAACCGAAGCCGGTGGTGTTCCAAGATGACAATACTTAATGAAAAACTATCTTCATTGTGTGGAAACATACCCCGCTGGACGTCAAAACTACTTACACTATTTGAGTAATTCTAAGGAGATAGTGATGACCAAACATCACCGCCGAAAATCCTGCGATTCTGGAGACCATAGTTTTGAAATCAAGGTTTTCCACCTCTTCTAGGTGAATGTTGCTTGTTGGCTCAGTTGGCTCTTCTCATACAAGAACTGACAGTGACACTGAATTGGACATAGCTATGTATCGGTTTTTAAGGTGGTGTCGCGTGACCCCGCAAAGCCCAACGGATAGCTGCTTGAAGTGGTTCTCGGAGTTGCGTTTGTATTAAGATCTTCCCGCCTGCTTAGGACCGTCTTAAGGTAAGTCAGGATGTACAGTTTTTGGGGTTGACTTTTTCTAAACCCCCTCCCCCGTCTCTAGGGTAGAGAGGCAGCATATCTGGCATGCTGGTCATCTGAGAGAAAAGCACCTAACTGCTTTTACATCCCCGCTTGCCAGCAATAATATGACTCCATCCACAAACCCTCAGCATAGTGTAAACTACTTAGACTTTGGTAGTGAGTAGTTTTCAGTTAAAACTCTATCTAAACGACCTATCTGACACACTAAAACCTGCAGGAACATTAGTTCCAGCCAGTGTAGTTCATTGGGTCATCGGGATATGCAAGCCTGACCACCACTTCAAGGTAGCAACTACTAGTCCTAACAACATAGTCAACATAAAAATCAATATGAGAAGTATTTTATCACTTCAGTCTGTCATATTTATGTATTCATTTCTTCCCTCTTCCTTTATCTAACCATAATTTGATCTCATAGCCGAATCTCAATCACCGCCTGTTTGTATTGATTCTGGAGTAGAAAAATCTGATAAATTAGATGAAACCAGCTCTGATCAATGTGTAGTTGAACAATTGACACGTTCAACAATGCCGAAAGAAACTAATTTTGTTGTTGCGACTGCAGTTCAACAGTCCCTAATTGCTGCTGTTGGTCCAATCGCTTGGCTAGCTACTGGCGGTATGCTATACATGCGTGTTTCATATAATGAAGCTGGCGCTTTAATCGGTACAGAAGGCTCTCGAATTCAACATCTTATGCATATTACTGGCGCAGAAATAAATGTCGGCAAGGTAAGTAAAGCGTCTGTGCGTGCGCGTGTGTGTCCTTACGATCTTTCTGTGTGCGTGTGTTTAAGCTAATTGTGTTGGAAGTGCCCCCCCTTGGTTGGTTTATATCCGTAGTTATAATTGGAGCGTTTGTGTTTGACATTTCAAAAGTTAGTCCTTGGATGCGCTAATTACTTGTAGTAACTGTCGCGTCGGTACTGCAGCTCTCCGGTGCTGAAAAGTTCAGCGCAGTTCAAGTCGTCGTAGAAGGATATTTATGCCAGTAAAATAAATTGATAATTTTATTGATTGATTCTGAGTGATCGATCAATCAATAAAGAATGTGAACGCATTTACATCACTGAGAATAATTTCGAGCCATATTATACTAACAATCTCCACCCATTAGAGTTCTCAACCGCCTGAAAACCCCATCCCCAGATAGTCTACAAACTCCATAGTAGAAGGTGTGGTTCACACACCTAATAGTCGAAGACGTCATCGATTGGTGACGTGTTTTAGTTTGCTGTCTCATTCCTTTGGTGAATTTTACGAGATAAGATTGATAACCTCACACGTGCAACCTTCCTTCTCCCGCCCTCCTTAGCCGGCTTACTATAGACTGAGTGAGATTTAGGAGTTCGTTGGTTGGATAGTGGGAATCGAATCCCGGACCACCATGTGCATGGTTGCCGCGCTAGCATCCTGCCAGTGAGTGAACCACCAACTGACGTGTTTTGGTTCGATCGTGTCAAACTCTTCTCCAATCCAAATCTATTGAGTTTTTAACCCTATATTTCAAATACTACCAGGCATAAAATGGACCCACACAAAAACTTGGAGGATATGGACTTCGCCGATGATATATGTCTGATTTCCCATGAACTGGAAGATATGCAAGTGAAAAGCTACAAGTTGGCGATAGAAGAAGCATCAAAGATAGGAATTCACTTCAGGTAAACACAGAGAAAACAGAGGTGGATGATGAAGATTCCTGGCCAACAACAACGGACAACAATCAGCATAAATGGGAGAAATCTAAAAGAAGCAACCTCCTTCACCTACCAACCTGGAAAGCATCGTTTCAACTACGGGCGGAACTGACGAGAATATCAAACCAAGGATTGGGAAAGTAAGACAAGCTTTCATTACTCTCAAGTCTGTGTGGAGGTCAACAAGACTGACTCAGCATGAGAAATAAGATCCTGATTTTCAACTCCAATGTGAAGTCAGTGCTACTTACTATATGGATCAGAGACTTGGCGCGTCATGCAGAGCACCTCAAACAAACTACAGACCTTCATTAACAGCTGTCTTCGCTCAATGCTACTCAAGATTAGATGGCTGGTCAGAAAAGATCAGCAACAGAGATCTCTGGGAGCGAACCAACCAGGAACCGATTGTGAAACAAATAGGCAGAAAGAAATGGAGATGGATTGGATTGGCCATACTCTGAGGAAACCATCAAATGACATCACTAGACAAGCCGTTTCTCGAGTGGAACCCGAAAGGGAAGCGGGAGGCGAGTTGTTCCTCAGTGCGAGAGTGGGGTGACTTAGAGGAGGTCATGTGAAGAGGAGATGAAAGCGTGTGGGCAGACTTGGAGCGAGGTGAAAAAGTTGGCGGAGAACAGAAGGCAATGGAGATGCGCAGCTGAAGCCCTATGTCCCTTTGGGAATTAAAGGAAATAATAATAATATTAGTAACTAGTTTTCTTTACCTTATATGTTAGACTTTTTACTGATTTCATCAAAAGGTGATATCAGTTAGAGATGGCCATTAAAGAATACCACAGAGAGTGCTGGTTCTAGCTCGGAAGTCTTCAACAGTACGCCCCCGCCACCGAGGTGTTCGAACCTAGAACCTTCCGGTTGCGAGGTCTATGAATTCCAAGTTCTACCAATTCGCGATATACATACATATATGTGCGTCGGTGGCACAGCTGTTAGGATGCTCGCCGACCATTTAGATGGTCTGAGGTTCGATCCCCGGTCGACGGCACACCTTAAGCTCGCTAAACCAGAAATAAAGCTAGTAAAAAGGAAAGCTTGGGCATGAGACTAGCAACTCCATCCTGTAAAAATAAGCACTACTACAGAAACTTCAAGCCTTCAGCTTGTAGCCCTATGTTTCAGGGGGAACGTGAAGGAATATATATGGTCGCTGACTTGTGGTGGAACCCGCTGGTCACCCGACTTCTCACTAGAACTTTAGATAAAATTTCCTGTATAGGACAAGTCGTTAAATTTGCAGAGATTCGATTGGTTACTGGTGGTTCGATCACCTACTCATTCACTCACTCAATGTTACTTTGCTGTTTACTTTTTTTAAGGTTCAAATTAATCCACCGTATGCAATCAGTCCATCAACTCGCACTGCTAATACTGCTACTACTACAACTGCCACTACGAAACGCACCACCATCAATTCAACTCAATCATCTGATCGAAAATCACCAACATGTATTATTTCTCTTGCTGATTCTTTCTTGAATAATTCTCCACAGGATGAGGAGTCTTCTTTGAACAATAAAGCCGTTCAGTCTGCCAGCAATCAAGATGATAATAGTAGTAGTAGTAAGGAGGACAGTGTTAACATCATAAATCATAATATTGATGATGATGATGATGCCAACACCTCTGTGATGAATTCACCAGATGACACAACAGAACCTACTGACATCAACTGTTGTAACGACGAACAGCAACAACAACAACAATCCAAGCATCAGCTCGATACAACAGAACCACCTTCTACTGTTGTTGTAGATCAATCCGTAGACAACAATAAAAAAGATGGTGAAGATTCCGCAATACCAAAATGCCCAAAAGCATCTGCCTCTTCTTCGTTGTCGTCGTCGTCGTCTTCACCTCCTTCCTCATCTTTATGTAATGATAAAAATGACGACGATACTACTACTACTACTACTATCAATGATAATACTGAAAATGGTGAACAATTGTCATCAAGTTGTGCAGTTGTGCCTAGTACTTCTTCTTGCCAATCAGATTGTGGAATCGCTCAACAAAAAACTGGCCTACCTCATTCTAATAAAACAACAACTGAATCAAAAGGCATAAATTCACCGAATCAATCCTATCGTTTAATCACACTGTCGGGTTCTGCTCAATCACAAATTATGGCTCAATGGCAAATATTTCAACGTCTTAAAAGTATACGTAAAAAGCAAGTGAGTGGTGTGTGTGCGCGTGCTTCTGCTTTAAAAATATTCCCCTTTTTTTCTCTCCCTAATACATAAAATCGTACAAACTATATTTTGTATCACACATTTATTTATTTGATTTGGTGGATGGTGGATTTCATCATGAGCTGACTGACATCAGTCTTAGAGAACCACTGGAAAACCTGCAGTCAGAGTACTGGACAGCTGTTGTCGCGTCATAGTTTGGGTGTGCACTGCTGAAGAGTCCTAAACAGGGACGCATCGACACTAGACGCTAGTTAGTAACTAGTGTAATGGTATCTAGTCCTTTGCTTGGTGCAGACTGGATTCTATCAAGCAGTCAAGTTTGCAATGTGGCCGCCATACTAGGATGGCTCGCCATCACGGTGCACTTTGAATTCATGGATAATCTCCATCCAGGCATTAATGAAAACAAAACACGTAGATCAGCGAAGAGTCTCTTTTCGCCGGCGAATTCATTTCCTTAGCTGTACAATTGCAAATATATATGTATAGGTTATTTTGTATGTATGTGTACATTAAGTTTGTCAAACAAAATTACAATTGGTTATGGTTATTTTAACTAGACAGGTGAAGAGATTGGTAATACAAGTCAAGAAAATTAGGGTAGTAACAAAGATGATGAGTCGTCACAAACAGTTGTTAAAAGGAGTTATGTGATAATATGAATAGTTTGATGAGTGAGTTTTACTCACGATGCACATAGAAACAAAGTAGATAACCCAAAATTAGGTGAGAGTTCTGAATGAATGCAAGAATTATAAGCAATTAAAGAACAGGCAAACAAACAAGATTAAGTCATCAAAATCAACAAAGTTGTTACCATGATAGTAAACGTGGTTGAGTATTCTTCTTTTGTATGCAGAGCTCCGGTTATTCTATGTGAATGGCCAGAGCTTCAGCGATACAAAGAAGACGAAACCGTATTGCCTTTGATAGGTTATTCGTGACCCTGTAAATTACTTTGAAGCAGGAGGCGTTTGTTGAGATGGAATGATCAGTGTTAACTAGGTGTTCAACTATCGCACTCCTAATTGCACTACTATTGCTTTCTCACAACCATGCTGGCTGGATAGTGTTCTTGAATCCTCTTGGACAGGGTCGAATGCGCGTCGAACGACCGATGTACCTGGCTGGCTCCACAGAAGCAGGTGAACTGATATATGCACATAGAAGTGGTCAGATGCAGGATCTTGTCCTTGAGACTTCTGCAGATCAGTCGGCGACTGGAGAACACTATTCTTAGCATTTCTGCAAAGACTGTTCTTCTCAGAGATGATGCGATCCTTCCCTTGAGAATATCGCTTGTCAAATCTCCCTTGAAATCCAAGTTCATGTAGAGTTTCTTTTTAAGCCCAACTAAAGTTTCGTTTCTCCGAATTCTTGGCTTGATATTTTTGTCGATGAATCTTAATGGGTATCCATTTTGGATGAAGATTTCTCTTAGAATATCTAATTGTTTCCAGAACTTTGGGACTACAGATGCATGGGATGTGGAAGGCAAGTGATTGAATTAAAATTCCGCTTTTGTTGAATGAGTACCCAGCTATAGAAGCTTGTTAGTTGACCATTCCACGTAGGTTTTCTATGGGTCGATCTTCTTAGGCTCCCAACTTCTTTTAACAACTGTTTGTGACAACTCATCACCTTTGTTACTACCCTAATTTTTCATTAACACCTGATTTTCTTGACTTGTATTACCAATCTTCACCTGTTTAGTTAAAATAACCATATCCAATTATAATTTTGTTTGATAGACTTAATATACACATACATACAAAATAACACACTTTAAATTGTTGATATTTAAATGGTTGAAGGTAATCGACAGGAAGCCTGCAACATTGGGTGATTAGGGTTCGAATCTCAGGAGGGCGACATGAGTTCCTTCAAGGTTGCCTTGTTGATGAACGCCAACTAGCACGAAACCTAGGTCGAAGGCTTCCTTTGACCGATCGCCTCCAGTCATGTAAAATAGAATAAGTCGAATTATGTAAGACACGAGCAAGTTAATTGAATTAACCAGAATTGTAAACATCATAAAATAACAATGTCAAAAGATTCATTACATGGGGAGGGGAAATTCGTTTTTTAAAGATTCACTACATGTTATGTAGTTGGTGATGTCCAAGAATGCTCTCAAATGCGTCCACTCTATCTCTTGTGTCTATCAAGTGTTCGGTACTTGATGAATTCAAACTACTTGGTCTTAAAATCACCACACTAACAACAAATTTGTTCATTTTTGACAAGTTACCTCCTTTTTATAAAATGTACATTATGTAATCACTCTCTCAGGGGATGGGGATGGAAGTAGCCGGCAGAAGGTTCCCCCAACCTAAGTTTTGTGTTTATTGACACTCGTTAGCAAGACGTATGTACAACGTTAGAGGAACTGTTGCTTCTCACCCACTCACCAGTAGTGACAGATTAGAATTCACATCGTCCACTACTACTGCAATCAAAGATGTTTCCACTAAGAGAGCTATTTGGGCTCATGATTTGACCTCTTTTATAAGACTCTCTTGCATACATTTGCTGATTATCATTGGAAGAAAATTATAGTATCATAATATGATTTTAATTTTCCTGTCAATTGATTGGACTGGAATGTTCGGCGTCTGTTGTGACAACACACGTCGGCTTATTTCTGGTACAGACGCTTGGACGATGTCTAAAAATTAACTTGAAATAACTTGGGTGCGGGGATGGTGATTATCAACAGAGACAGGCCGTACACTTTAGTCGAATCAATCAATCAATCAACGAGAAAATCAAATATCGATTGGAAAAGTAAATAAGAGCTGGTGCCTGTGTGTTACCTAAGGTAGAAGAGATGTGGATGTCGTGTCCCACATCTAACTGACGATGAGTTCCCAATGGGAGGAAATGCTCATCCTGGTGAATTCCACTCTTCCTAGTCATCGATCAGTTTATTTTCATGGTTAAATTAAAATTTATTCTTATTCCATGATATTTCTTGTATTTAACCTTAATCTAAAACAAGCAATAAAGGTTAATAAAGCAGGATGACTTAATGAATTCATCAAATTTCGGTAGAACTCGTCAGCCACTGAATACTCTACATACACGGATACATATATACTTTTGAAATTACATTGAGAGATATCAGACTGATAAGTCAACAAACTATATTGAATTAGTCATGCAGAAAGACAGGTGAGAATGTTTTACAGGTCATGTTCAAATAGATAAGGCGAGAGGAAGAGTATGAGGGATCAGAATTAAGATAAATTGCATTGCGCTTCAATTATATCACTTACATAAACAATAAAGACATTAGAGAATATAACAAGAATTGCAAACAGAGTAATATCAATAGTAATTGTTAGAATAATATAATAGTGTTGAAGTGAGTTAAGATAATCCTACTGATAAAGGATAGTTCTAAATGAATCAAGAATAATTATAATAAGAGGTAGAATAATAAGCAAAACGTATTACCATCGTAGATCCAGAGTCACGACCATCTCCTTTTGTACACAGAGACCTGGTTTATAAACTCGAATTTCACTAGCCTATCCAAATGCAAGCATCTTCTTGTTTCTTTGTCTGCTGACAATAGTGAATGACTTGATCGCGTCAATATCATGTCCATAGTTCACAAGATGTTTTTTATTGAGGATTTTGGCACTTTGCACTCAGCTGTTTCCAACCACCTTGGCAAATGCTCCATCATACGAGTAGACAATCACCTTTCTGTACGTACGACCTATGTATTTGCTTCCACAAACACACTCCAATTGATATACGCAGTTTGAAGTGTCAAGGATTGGCGACTGGTCTTTCCCAGATTGTTGAAGCACTCTCTTGGTGGTGGTGTTAAGGATAACAAGTTTTCCAGGATAATAAGTTCTCTTGATGGCTTTATCGAGTCTTTGTTTGACTACTTCCTGTACATCGTCACCTTTGAGTGGCAAACTGATATAGACAGGTTTCTTCGGAACTGTTGGGATAGTTTTGCTTGGGGCTAATTTCTTTAGAGTATTTGAACATGGCCTGGTAAACTTTCGCACCTGTCGTCTCTGCATGAATAATTCAATGTAGTTTGTTTACTTATCAGTCTTGTATCTCCCAATGTAATTTCAAAAGTATGTATATATATATATATATCCGTGTATGTAGAGTATTCAGTGGCTGACGAGTTCTACTGAAATTTGATGAATTCATTAAGTCATCCTGCTTTATTAACCTTTATTGCTTGTTTTAAACTCGTATCGAGAAATAAATGTTTTAACTTTAATCTCTTTTTGTATTTTTTTAATTTTTCTACTCTCCTAGGCGGACTCTTCAAATTATTCAACTCAGAGGGTATTTTGTTTAGCTACGTTAATTTGTCTACCTTATCGATTTTTATGGTGGTTAACTACGCATAATCCAGGCTTCTCAGAGACATCGGATTCTACTTCCATACTTACATCGACATCATTAACAAGAGCCAATCATCATCATTCACAAGGTAAAACTGACGATAACGATCAGAGCAGTGATCATAGCAACAATAATAATAAAGAACAAAAATCTGGTATATCTCCGTTGAATTGGATCCAACTGTTGGCGAGTAAACATATGCATGCAAATTATGCAGATAATGATGATGATGTGAAAAAAAATTTGCCTAATAAATTTATTCATGTCCTCCCGGAGCCTAGACGACGTCGACGGTTAGTTCAACAACAATTGAAACGAATTATGAATGCCAATCGGCGTGGACAACACCACCAACAACAACAAATGAATCATGTCGGCAACTGTTTAGCGAAAGCACTTATCCTACCGACAAGAGGGCTAAGTAATGATGGCTTAGATCAATTGTGGGCTCATCCTAATCGTATACCCTTGGAGATTTATGCTGATTTCGAAACAACACAAGTAAGTTGAATTTTTTTTCCATATTCTGATTAATTTGTTTGTTTGCTAAAAGGTGGATAGGGGATGGGGCGTCATTCTTCAAAGACGTTTTACCTGTTGTTCTTGTTGCTGTCTCATCCATGATCCCCACCAACAAATTGAACCAAATGTTGTCACAAGATGAGTTCGTAGATTTGAAGTCTTATTGGGAAGTCTCGTGTGACCAGCGAGGTCCACCAAGTTGGGTGGTTAGAAGTTAGAAATAATGGGTTGCATTGGAGTGGCTGAGTAGTCAAATGGTTATTGCTTCATAACCTTAAAGTTTTCTGGGTTTGATCCCTGCGCTGGAGTCATAGATGCACACTTCTGACTGGTTTCAACGTAGAATGACTTTGCACAGATGTGCTGAAGTTCAAGTTGCCAAACTCTCTCCACGTACCACACAAAACAAGAGAAGAGAATAGTGGGAGGTTCAAAAGACATATAGTAAACTGAAGATTGTGTGGACAAACATTTGAGTTTTATTGGATGCGGTAAATCACAAAGAGTGAATGCATCTGCGTCAGCCATTACTGGAAAAGATTTTGATCAATAACATCGATAATTGTCTACAACCTTCATTGGTTTTTACCATCCGGAGGACCCCAAACAGACTGGCAGTATATACCTACCCTTGTGGCTGGCTGGCTTAAACTAACTGTTATGGATTTCATTGACTAATAAAGCCATGCTTTGGTTTGACCACCCACCACTAACTTACTCTTTTCCAACCCGATCCATACTATGTCAGCAGCTGACATTGCCCGTCGGTTGAGGAAGCCGATGTCTAGACATGTAAATGTAACACATGTCCTTACCACCTCAATCAGTGTACCTTCACAACGTCGTCCCCTCCCACCTACCCAGCACTCAACCGAAGCCTAACCTCAATATAACTCACCTTATTATACCGCCTCATCACACGGGAGATAAAATACAGGCACCTATGATCAAAGACAGTTACCTGGCCTCTCCATGTATTTCACTTTCAGTGACCATGTCTCACAGTCAGGCATAAAGGAGGACGGAGCAAACTGCTGAGTAGCCAGTACACACGCCTTTCGGTCAATAGCCAGTCGGATTTCACGTCTACTAAGCCATAGGTGGCGTAAGCTGGCATATGCCAAACGAACCTTCTGTATCCGTGTTGAGATTCCATCCAGTGATCAACCCGCTGGTGTTGGTGGATGCGACTTCCCAAATAAGTGATTGAAGTAGTCAACACGCCCCATCAACCAATTCACTCCCTGTCTATAAGCTAGTAGTCAGTCAATGTAGTCCAGTCCTATAGCCTAATCATCTTACACTTGACAAAGGGAGCGAATCACATACCAAACATTCGCAGATTCCTGCTCAGGGTGTTCAGAAGACTCTGCATTTTGTCAATGTCTTCACCTAGAAGGACTATATCATCTGCATATTCTAAGCTAACTAGTTTATTCTCTGATGGTAACAAGTCAATCGCTGAGTCGCTGAAGTCATTTGGGTTTAAGACGATCAGTACATCTGTGATGAAATAAAACAGAAATGTGGACATTGAGCATCCCTTATAGACACCACTTTAGATTACAACTCTCCATAGGTTCTCACCTGGCTAACTGCATGAGTTCGGGTAGAGTGAGTGCCTTGATCAGTGAGTGAGTGAGTGAGTGAGTGAGTGAGTGAGTGAGTGAGTGAGTGAGTGAGTGAGTGAGTGAGTGAGTGAGTGAGTGAGTGAGTGAGTGAGTGAGTGAGTGAGTGAGTGAGTGAGTGAGTGAGTGAGTGAGTGAGTGAGTGAGTGAGTGAGTGAGTGAGTGAGTGAGTGAGTGAGAAGACAGGACTCCTGTGCACCGACCGATAAGAAGACTCTACAACATTTGGCTTCCGTGGATAATTTATGTTTAGTGTCACACACACAAACTCGAAAACTTGCAGGCAGGCGAATATGCAGCAAACTGGCAGAAGAGGCGGGCCCTTTTAGGCACTATGCGCCTGTGACCACCTCTAGAGATTCAACTAAAAACCTTCAGGTTAGTAGGTCAGCTCGTTGAATGATGATCATTCAGTTAATGATTTAACAAGTTTTATAAAACACAAAATAATTGAGCAAAGAATGTCCTTTTCGATAATTTCCTCTTCGGGCTCTACAATTATATGTATGTTTATATACACAGAATATTCCAGATTAGTAGTTAATAACAATTTTAGTGTTCTTTTTAAAATAGTATCGATTTATTAAGCAAGATCAGTGGAATTACAGTACATTAAGTATGCTTAAATAATAATAAAAAAGATATAGTAGCGAATAGAATATCAATTAAAATTAGGAAAATCCCACAAAAATTCAGGATCATTCAAACCTAGATGGCCAAGGTAATGATACTGTCTGAACTAACTTCTTTTGGATGCACAAATTAGGCTTCTTAATATGGATCCCAACAACCAACCTCAGCAATATTTAGTAATCGAACCCTTAAGGCGAAATTAAGATTTGTTGGTATGTGGTAAATGACTCTGAAAGCATGGTTAGTGTCAATTTTGTGTTCTGTTTCCACAAGATGAGATAGAGTAGCTCTACGAATATATTTTCTTTGTCCTTTGATTAACCACTTTGTGGAGTGATGTTTGTAAATTCGACGAGAAACACGCCTAATTGTACGACGTATGTAACTGACTAGGTGACTTCAGCGACTCAGGGATTGACTTGTTACCAGGGAATAATCTCGTTGACTTGGAATATGCAGACGATATAGTCCTTCTAGGCGAAGACGCTGACGAAATGCAGAGTCTTCTAAACACCTTGAGCCGCAATCTACGAATGTTTGGCATGCGATTCGCTCCCGCCAAATGCAAGATGATGTTACAGGACTGGACTACATCGACGCCTAGTTTAAAAATAGTAAGTGAAGTGGTAGAGCACGTTGACCGCTTCACTTATTTGGGAAGTACTATCAGCCCCAACGGGCTGATCTCTGACGAAATCTCAGCACGAATACAAGGGGCTCGTTTCGCATTTGTTAGTTTACACCGACTCTGGCGTAGACGAGATGTTCGACTATCGACCAAAGGGCGGGTGTACTGCTCATCAGTCCGCTCCGTCCTCCTTTATGGTTGTGAGACCTGGCCACTGAGAGTGGAAGACATGAAAAGACTAGCTGTCTTTGATCATAGGTGCCTGCGTTCTATTTCCCGTGTAAAGTGGCATAATAAGGTGAGCAACATGGAGGTTAGGCGTCGAGTTCTAGGTAAACAGGGGAAATCAATCGACGAAGTCGTGAAGCTACAAAGACTGAGATGGTTAGGACATGTGTTACGTATGCCAAGCCATCGCCTCCCTCGACGAGCTATGTTAGCGGATATAGGGTCAGGCTGGAAAAAAGCTAGCGGCGGTCAAACAAAAACTTGGCACCAGTCAATGAAATCCACAACAGTTGGTCTAAGCCACGTAGAAAGGTGTAGACTTCCAGGCTGGGGTCCTCGGGACGGTAAAAATCTATGGTTGGAAACAATTGGTGACATGGCTCAAAATCGTTCTCAGTGACGCAGATGCATCCACTCCCTGTGACTTATGATCTTCAATGAAACTGTTTTGTATTTCTTTATTACTCCTTTGTCTCACACCTCTGCTCACTGTTTCTATTATGCTTTTCATGTACTTTCTTCTCTTGCTTCGCGTGCTACACGGAATGTGGCGACTTGAACTTCCGCACATTTGTGCAAAGTTCTATGTCGAAAACAGACAGACAGCTCACTCCACAGATGGAGTAAAATTGATAGATACACATGGAAGAGGCGAAATTAGACAGTTTGTCTTTATACTCATGAACTGAAAAGAGGAGTGGTTTTGCAGATACAGCTCGATTATTTGGTGTTTTACAAATGTCTGATTGAATATTTTTGCTATATTAGCATGTTTCGTTGACTTCTTAAAGTTTTACACTCTACTTTATTAGACAGACTATTTCACAAAATGTATTGTATTCTCCGTCTAATTTCTTTTACAGTTGGTATTGAAAAATTTACATCATATGTTAGCCCTGTGGTTATATGGACAATCTCTTGCTGGTATTTCAATTCAATCGTTTATTCAACCACCGATTATCTTTTATCCACTACCTAATACTGCTGCTTGTGGTGCTGGTGGACGTCCAGGTAATTTGTCTAACTTGGAGACATCAAGAACAACCACAACAACATCAGCAACAACGGCAGCAGCAGCGGGACACAATCGACCATATTCACAGCCTAATTTCCATAATCATCATCATCATAATGATCAATTTGACTATTGGACATTTATGCCTAATCGTCAACATGATGCTTTTTTTAATTCACTAAGACATAGTTTTCCTATGCCATTGTTATCTTCTGGGAGTGGTGGTGGTGGTGGTAATAAAGTAACAGCTTGTGGCGGTAGTGGTGTTGTTGGTCCTGGGGGTTCACCGTATTCATCATCAGCACCGATACTTCCACCAGATCGTTGTAATTATGTAAATTTTACAGCACAACCATATTATTATCCTCGATACCCTTGGATGAATTTACCTGGTATTCCATTTAATAATAATAATAACTGCAAGTACTCAGGACAGGCAACAGTATCAACAGATGGTAAGCTCAATTTATAAGTTGTGTTTATTATTACCATCATCATTATTATTACTATTGTTATTTCAGTTGCTAGGTAGGTTCTCGTCACAAATCAACAACCTCAGTGTTAGTTAGATAGAGATAATTGAAAACCAATCAGGGAGGGAGAGAGAGCATTGGACAGTTATTTTAGGGGTGCACATCCACCCCCATGACACTCTCCCACTGGGGATCAAGCAGGACGGGGGGCTTCACGTTTTGATACCCTGAGTCTGGAATTCAATGACTCTAGAATTCCAATGTGTTATATCAACTCGTGAGATACAGCGCTGCCTTCATCAATGGGGGCGCTTGGGTGGGCGCGCATCCGTTTTACTATGAAAATGAGAGACTACATTGGTCACAACTCCCTCCTACAGCAGTAGTAGTGTAACAACAGAAGACAAGGACCAGGCAACAGATCCTTTATTTACGAAACCAACACATATTTATAGCTTTTCATGTACATTATTATAGATTATTGTTAGCATAAAAACACAGTCTTCTGATTGGTTGTTTCTCACAGAAAGTTAACCTTGCATCTCTTTGTGGCTGTTTCTTGAATGTCAGATCATCTACATGTTAACTGTATCCGCCTACGCAAAGTCTTTGTTCTCATTTTTCTCACGACCAATATTGGGGACATAAACATTGATGTAAATTACTGACTACCAACTTTGGCTAGCAGCCAGCTCTCACCACAGTAGTAGCAGCAACTTCAGGAAATCCATCCACCAATGGCCATCATCGTCAGTGAGCTGGCAATTATTATATATCTAGATTATAGAGTTCTTTTGGAATTTTGAAGTAATTTCATCCTTGGTTTTCCAGTCATCCATCTCTAACCGATGTTGGTTTGTGACGGAAATCTAACAAATGAAATTATTTCAAAATTTCCCACAAATTATCATCCTATAATCTGGATTGCTATTATTATTATTATAATCTCTATTTTATGGATTATCCCGACTAGTGAAAAAAATATAAGACAAGTAGTAAGATGGTTGGAGACAATCGGCCACAGGAAGTCTTGCCAGCACGTAGGTTTCGTTCTAGTTGGCACTCGTCAGTTAGGCGTATCTGCAACTGACTTCAAGGAACTCATGTCCCTCATGAGATTCGAAACCGCGTCACTCGATGCCGGCTGCAGTCAGAGATGTTACCGCGATTGACCTAGGTCCAAGGCTTACTGCGGCCGATTACCTCTAACCATCTAATATCATCAAATCAATGTACACCGTGATGACGAGCTACCTAGAATGGTGACCACATTGCAAACCTGACCGATAGAATTCAGTCCGTACCAAAGAAAGTTCTACACACGTCACATTAGTTACTAGTGTCAAAACAAAAATCTCCAATACAGTCCTACAAGAGGTCAATTGCGAGCTTGAATAGCTCAGTGGTGATGTCTCTGACTGCAGGCGGCACTGGGTGACGCGAGCTCGAATCTCAGAAGGGACGCATGAGTCCCTTCAAGGTTGCAGATACGCTTTGCTGACTGGTGAGTGCCAACTAGCATGAAACCTACGTCCTGACAAGGCTTCCTGTGGCCGATTGCTTTCAACCATCTAACACTGTATACCTATTTATCACGATTTTTTCCTTTTATCTTTAAATTTTAGCTGCTATTAATGCTACAACTAGGGGTGGTGCTGGTTGCCCCCCAGCTTTCTATGGTTATTGGCCACGTGGACGTTTCAATCATCCTCTAGACGATAAGCATAATATTATTGTGAATGGTGATTTATCTTCACAGTCGACACGATTTCCATCACCTGGCACTGGTGGTGGTTATACAGCATTTCTTACTAACTTACATTTCCCACCGACAGCAGCCATGGCAGCGGCAGCAGCAACAGGCTCACGACCACCTTCTTTCAATCCTATCCAGACATCTGTTCATCCTGCACAAGTTGTTCATGGTTATCATCATCATAGAGGTTCATCTGTTCCACCACAACCGAAATTTAGATTCCGTAATCCATGTGGCGGTGCTGGTGGGGGAGGAAGTGCTACAGAACCATTTATCCTAAAAAGTATGCCATTATTAGATACGCCAAATCATCATCAAGTGACTATAAATAATCACCGACCATCGTCATCATTTGTGCATCATTCAAAGACGTCAACGGCAACGACACCGTCAACAGCAACAACAACAACAAATCATGTAAAGAATCAGGGAACACGTACAAAACACAATTCACAAAGTTTAACTGAATCAGTAAGGATTTTTTTTCTTACTCACTGTGTGTAACTTTGTACGTTTTTTTCTCTCTCATTATTATTGTTCCCCTTGGGTTCCTAGTGGAACATAGGGCTTCAACTGCACGTCTCCACTGGCTTCTGTCTTCTGCTGTGCTTTTCACCCGCATCCATGTTAGTCCATACTGTTTCAACTCCTCTTCACACGATCTCCTCACTGTCACCCTCGCCGTCCCACTCGCCACTTCCCTTTCGGGTTTTACTCGAGCAATGGCCTGACGTGCCTGCGGTGTCACCCAGCGGCTTCTTCAGCGAGTATCTAATCCATCTACACTTTCTCCTGCATATTTGTTGGCTGGCCATTGGTTCTTGTTTTGTTTGTTCCTTCCCACAGTTTCTTGTTGGTGTTTCTTTCCTGCCCAGCCATCTGATTGATCTTCAGTATAGAGCGATAGTTGACAGTTGTTGGTTAATAAAGGTCTGCAACAGGCTGTTGGGAATATTCTTTGTGACCCACCAGCCAAGTTTTTGATCCGTATAGAATAACTGACTGACTTGACGTTTGTATTGAAAATCCGACCGAATTTTGTTGTTGATCGTGGTTGAGTGATGATTTCCAGATTGGTGGTTTCAGGTTGATGAATGTGTTTCTCGCATTCCCGATTCTCGCTCGATTTGACATCCTCGTCCGTTCCGACTGCCTGTAGTTGAGACAATGGTCCGTAGATAAGTTAGTGAATGAAGTAACCTCTTTCAAATCCCTTTCTCTTTCATGAATTTTGTCTATTCGTTATGTATGCGTGTGTGTGTGTGTGTGTATTCACATCGTCTAACAGTGAGTGTGAGATTTATTGACCACATATCCACTTGAAATAAAACACTTAGTCCATTTGATAAATTTGAATAATTGCATGGAGGATTTCATCATGAGCTGACATCAGTTAAAGAAATCCTGCAGGGAGTACTGGACAGGCATTTGTTTCGTCATCCTAGTTTGGGACTCTTCGTCCGTACGCATCCACCAGTGTTCCAGCCCAGGACCTTCTGGTTACAAGGCTAGCGGACTCGTATACCATTAAGCCACTGGTATCCAATACAATCGTCCTTGAATTCTAACTTCTGCCAATTCACGACATAGCGCGACCCTACAAAATCAATACTTGACAAATTTGAATAAGGCATTTAGAAGACAAATTTCGAGAGAGATGATATCATCATTTCGTAGTTCCCTTACAACTACTTTACACAGCTAAAATGGTTCACAATAATATAACCAAATCGAATGCATTACAATTACTCAGTTATATAGAAAACAAAAGTACATACTAATGACCAATCATGTTTAAATAGGTCAAGTAGTCAGTTCATGGTAGGAAAAGGAAGGTTGAAGTCTATTGTTTTTCATGGCACATAGTTTAAGATGTATGTGATTAATCCCCACCCCTCCCCCAAAGTGTTTCCATCACCTTCAATAACCAACCAACCAACCTTGAATTAGAGTTATGTGGTGAAATAATTGTGAAACAGTCATTAATATTGATTTTTGTGACCTGACATTAATAAGTGTTTTGCAATAGATGATGATGATGGATTTCTAATCAGAATAATTGCATTGGGATTTTCTATGTATTTTAATAGCCATTTTGGAACACGTTCTTTTCGACGACATTGAAACATTCTGTTGGTTCTACTTATATAGGTATCACCGCAGCTGCAGATGAACTTGTAGATACAGTGTGAAGTAGAGTTCACAGAATTTCGTCCTTTAATCGTAGGTAGGTACAGGGATCGAAAATGTTCGTCAAGTGAGAGAGAAAAAGAGATGTGGTGGCGTAGAATGTGCGTTTGATGGCTGACCGAAGTCTTTGAGCTAGCTGTCAACTGCATAATCTGGTCACCCTTGAGTGGTAGGTTAATAAAAATAGATAGCTTTCTTTGGTACAGAAGCCGTCTTTTCGAGATGTGATCTTTCTTTACTGTGACAAGTAATAAAGTTTTCCTGATAACCCCTTAGCTAATAAAACTGAATGTGTATGTCGAAACTCAACCATCAATGTGTCGCTCGTACGTATTTCGAATGCCCTTGAAAAAAAACATTTCACTCGATAGGGAACGTTTATACTGGATAGAAACAAAACCGGTGAAATGTTATCATCTCGCGAAATTTGTCTTCTAAATACTTTATTCAAATATGCATTTGACTCCCTCTCTCTCTCAAACGTGGTGCTTTGATGATTCACTGACTTAGTCTTTCTGGAGAATACCAACCACTATGGCACCCACCGGTTGGAACCCCCACTCCATAATGTTGCCCAAATAAGTGAAAAAATTGACTGCTTGTAGATCTCTCTATTCTGTTGATAATGATTGGCGCGTGTTTTCGATTAGGTAGGTATCTTCATCACCGCTATCCTCTTCTTCCGGTCAACTTGTCGGTTCTCTTTTCGAGTTTGCGTGACATTTATAGCATAAATCACCGTTGAAGTTCGAGTTTTCTAGAGTTCAGTTCAACGTATTCCTGCTGTATGGTCCAGTTCGCCGCAATCAGGTACGTCATCGCAGTGATAGTATGCAGTTTTACCTCACTGCTGTTTTCACTTCAGTGACCTCGCTGAGGAGTTTTCCGTTATGTGGATCACCTGACATATATGGCCTTGTCATATAGCCGTTGTTAGATGAAGTTAGTAAAGGTGTGTTTAAACACCACACACTTTGTACTTTTGAAACAGATTCTAAATTTCAGGGAGATGTTTCTTCAAAAATAAAGCAAAAATAACTCTTACAACGTATGTTCACGTGATCGTCTTTGTCATCAAACTAGCAAAGAACAAGATCTTCAACCTGTCAATCACTCCTTCGTCTAGCAAATCTCTCAAATGACTTAACACACATCTCTCTCTCCCTCGCGTGTGCCCGCTGTTTCCAGAGTTATGTCCTACTTCCAACCGTTACATACAAATTGCTTTTCTTGCTTTGATGAAGAGGGAGAAAGGATTATTGGTTTCAATGGCCCGAGTCTTGTTCTTTATGCAGGCTGACTGAGTTAGTAGAGAGGATTTCCAAACTTATTTCAGGTTGATGAAGGCGTGCGTATCTTGCCTTCTCGATCCTTTCTGGCTTACTCTGACATCTTCATCGTTTCTGTCATCTGTAGTTGAAACGATGCTTCCTAGCCGGATAAGTGTAGAAAGTAACCTCTGTCAAATTTATTCCGTTGCTATTCGTTGACGCTGTCTGCTTATTGATTGCTTGGTTATCTTCATCACCTCCGTCTCCATCTTCTCTATGTTCATCTGGAATCCTGTCCTCCCTGCCTGCCTGCAAGTCTTAGAGTTTATGTGACACATTAAACATAAATCATCCACGCGCAGCAAAATCCACATCTTCTAGAGTCTTCTTATTGGTCAGTCCAACAGCATTCACTTCCAACACCTCGCTGAGTTTCCTGTTGTGGATCGCCTGACGGGCACGTAGCAGGCATTATCACATAGACAGCAAGCTTTTGAATGAGGTGGATGAGGACTTGGACACTAAAGTTCGTAGTGTTGAAGCAGTTCTCAAATCACTTCTTGGTTAACACTGTCTTTTGAAAGCCTTTCGAAGTCGAGGTAGAGATAGAGATTTGACTGCCTTTCTATGCTTTGTTCTGCGATGATGATGATGACGATACGTAGAGTTGCAATTCGATCAGCATTTGATTTGCCTGACTTGATTTCCTGAATCTGCATCCAGTGTATGTTTCAGTCTCACTATATGACGACACGACTTAGTAGTTTACTTGACGTGGACACAAGACCATTATCCCCCGCCAGTGAGTGAGTTCTTACAGAAGCCTAAGTTGTCCTTCTTTGGTAGCTTGACTAAGTAGCCAGCTTTTCTTCCATTCAGTCAGTAGGGACCTATCTCCACCCCCACCCCAAACCGTTTTGCACATCTCTCGTAATATCTGGATCCGTTTCCAGTGCTTTGGGTCGGTTGGAATTCCGTCTGGAATTCAGTAGCTTGATCACATTCAGGATATTGCTGCTTTCGTTGGAGGATTGGTGTCCGCTGGCAGGGGCAGTTCCTTGCGTGCTGTCGGTAGTGGTGATGATGGTATTTCTGGGCAAGCTGCAAGTGATGATCGATTCAAAAGTCTTTTGAAGTGAAGGGGTATGTGATAGACATGACATATTCATGGTAAGTGCTCTTATATAATAACTACCTCGTTTAACCCTCCCCCAGTGATATATATAAACATATATATTCATACTTATTTCGTTTTTTATTTGGTCTTCTCTTTTTTTTCTGTCTAGCGGAAGAAAAATGATGATTCAACAACCGTCACTTGTGGTGGTGGTAGTGGGGGTGGCAGCTAGAATTTGTTCAATTATACTTATAAATAATATGCATATATATTTTTTCGATTCTTGCTGCTTCTACTCTTTTTTTTCAACATGATACTACTCACTTTGCTCACTTCCTTACCTACTCACTCACTTGCTCGTAATAAGAGCTATCATGATTGTGTGAATATGGCGAAAAGAAGAAGCTGTGTGGACAGTTAGTCGCTCGCTTGGTTGGTTGATTCATTCATTCATTCTTTCTAGTTTCGTATTTTCCCTATTCAGTTTATGTTTATTTTCTTTGGAATCATGTCTGAAATTTATCCTTTTTGCATCTCTTCAAAAGTGTTGTGTGCGTGTGTCTCTCTCTCTCCTTCCCATTTTTCTTATATTCTTTCTTTTCATTTTGGGTGTAAATCCTTTCCTCTTCCCTCACTTACTCAGTGATTTCTCTCTTCCTCTTCTAATTTGCTCTGTTTCCTTTTTGTGTCCGTGGAAAATCTACCGCGTAACTGTGAAGGTTTTGCCTATTCTTCTTCTTACCGTTCTCCTCCGTCCGTCTTCGTTCATTTTCTTCGTCTTACTCCATCCTGATCATGGCCGCTCACCTTTTATGCGTGTTATTCTTCTATCGTTAGGTTGATTTCTCTTATCTCTCTAAGGATTAACAGATGTGATTTATTCACCTCTTCCTCGCGCTTTTTTTTCCTTTCCCGCTTAAAGTTTTCCTTCCAAAAACACTTAGGAATTGTGTGTGTGTGTGTGTGTGTGTGTGTGTGTGTGTATGAGAGAGAGAGCCAGAGAGCACAGTCGATGATGACGATGTCGGTCGTAATATATACATTATGATGATACTTGTTTATAACGTGTGTTTTTTTTATTGTCAAACAGGGAACAGATCTCTCTCGCTTTCCCCTCCCTCTGTCTCTCTTGTAAACTACCATCGTTGCTATTTATTGTTGTTATTATTATTATTAGCCCTGTTTTTTTATATGGCGTATTTATTAGTAGGACTTCCCACTTTCTCTTCTATGTGTAGACTCTCTCTTCTCTGGCTGGCTTTAATCTTTTCTCTGTGAGTATCCTTCCGCCTTCTATTTCTGTCTCTCTCTCCCTCTTTTCCTACATTTTCTTTTGTAGAGAAAAATACCCCCCCCTACACACCTAATAAATATAGAAACACATATAAAGCTCAAATTATTATTATTATTATTGCAACTACTCAAAATCACGAATCATTTGCTCACACACAATAAAAGCAGCTACCACCTTTCTTTTTCTCTCTCTTTTTTACTTGCTTTATTACTACCCCCTCTGAGTAGTCTAAGATGGATGGGGGAAATGAGTGAAGAGATAAGCGAGCGAGCGAGTAAATGAATGCGTGGAACAGTCGGCGATGACGACGATCATGATGATAACCATCATTTTTATTTGTGTACAATCATATATATATATGTGTGTGTGTGGTGATCATAGTTTTTTTATTCGATTCAATCCGTGCCGGGATGATTTTAATCTCCATCTCTGTCACTGTTTCTTTCTCTGTGTCCCATACACACAAACACATATACAAGTGTGACCCCACTCCAAACCCACGTTGCACAAAAATACACTACATTCACCTGTACATTTATTTGTGCCTTGTGATGAAATATATATGCATACATATTATGTAACCACCATTCACATTCATCCATATGTGTTGTCGAATATCAAAGTAAAGAAAGTGAAAGAAGTGGCTGATAGCTCTAGCTAGCTAACTATGCTCGTGGGATGCGGAAGGAGACGGGATGCAAATTCCTGAATTTTATCACTAATATATAACACACTCACTTGATGAGTACACCGACTTTCTATTACTTAATAATTCTGTTCGTGTGTGTGTGTAATCGCCTATGTGTGTATCTCTAGTTTCGTCTTATTATTTTTCTCTGTTTTCTTATTTGGTCCCAATCGCCCGCCCACCCATAATCCTCTACTCTCCCCTAGCCCCCCCCCTCCCCATCCCCTTGAAATGTAGAACTCTGTGCACGATATATGATTTTCTTTTCTAAAAAAATTAATAAATCAATACGAAAACAAACTGAAAAAAAATTGTTGGTTGCTGTTTTTTTAACTTTCTATAGTTTGGTTTGTAAGAGTTTAGTTTTTTTACGGATTGATTATAGCAGTTAGAGAATCATTGAAAACCAGTCACAGGGAGTACTGGACAACTGTTTCATAAGTCTAGTTTGGGAATCATCGGCAATACTCACACACCCCACTGCCAGGGTTCAAACCCCAGTACCTTCCGGGTACAATGCATGCTCGCTAGTGACATGCTACAGGGCGGAGTTTCCTGGAGTTCTATTGAGAAGTCGTTACCAGTGAGGTCCATCCGGTCAAGTGTGAGGATGGATGTCCCACTGGTGGCATTGGTTGGTTCCAGTTGCGCTAAATCACGAATTGGTAGAAGTTAGAATTCATGGGCTGGTGTAGTCAGGAGATACTACTGAGTAATTGTATCGGATAGGAAAAGACACAAGTATTCGATTATTTAGTATTCACTGGTGACGTTTCGAGCATAATTTCTTGAGAGAAAAGACGTTCAGCGAATATTTTCAAAGTCGCGCCACTAAAATTGTTAATTTATTTTAGATATTTGAAACAATTAGTCCCTTTGATCAATTTTGATAGCGTCATTAGAAGACGGAGATTATCTGAAAAATGTGATGTATTTGCGATATATACATTTGGAACAATCTGATCCCTCACACATTTACTTGTCAAGTCAATATATATGGAAAAGTTAAATTAAACAAAGTGACAAAAAAGTGAATTAAGAATAATTAACACAAGGTTTGGTAATGCAATCAAATAAGGATTACCAAGGTGGATGGGTTAAGAGTAATAACAAACTGTTTTTGAATATACAGGGGGGGACTTGAGTCTATATCCCTTAAAATTTTTAAACAGGTGTAGTCTGTAAACCTACAATCCATACCGCCCCTAAGAAAAAGGTTTTCATCAAATTACCATATAACGGGGAAATAAACTGTAGGGTTTTGAGACAAAGGTTGAATTCGATTATCCGTAGAAGGTATTATGCAGCCCAGCTTGTAATTGTGGAAAAAGCTAAAAATATGCTTCACTGCAAACCTCAAAAGTGCACAAGTGATTATATCACACAGTTTACCAATTTTCGCGTGTGTGTGTGTGTGGGACACATACATAGAGAGGAGTAATCGTGCTTTACATGTGAGGGTGGGAGAGCATATCCCGAAATGGCTAGGAAAACAAATGAATTGTGGGAAACTTATAGATGCAGATGTCAGACTACCAACTTCGTCTATAGCTAAAAACCTAGTCGAGATGAACTATAAGATCGATGTTAACTCAGCCTTTACGGTCATCTATAGAAAGGGTCAGGGGCGCTTACTGAAGCTATAGCTATTCATAAACTTAGCCCCCTTGTGTATTCCAAAACAGTTTGTTATTACTCTTAACCCATCCACCTTGGTAATCCTTATTTGATTGCATTACCAAACCTTGTGTTAATTATTCTTAATTCACTTTTTTGTCACTTTGTTTAATTTAACTTTTCCATATATCTTGACTTGACAAGTAAATGTGTGAGGGATCAGATTGTTCCAAATGTATGTAGCGCAAATACATCACATTTTTCAGATAATCTCCGCCCTCTAATAACGCTATTAAAATTCATTTTAGAGAGTAAATTGTGTAATAGAACAAAGTGTTAATCGACTAGACTTAATATAATTGACAGAATTGAGTAGCATTCAACTAGAATTGAACGAGAGTCAAGTTAATAACAGTGGTAATGAAACGTAGAAATTTAATAGTTTGGGGATAAGGGAAGAAAATAATACATAATTAAGAAACTAAAATTACGCATCCGGTGTTAAGACAGCTCAGGTCTATTGTAGCGAAAGACACACCTCGTCTCGATATGACGAATTCACTCTCTCATCTCATCATTCAATGGTTAGTATGTAACGACAGAAGACAAGAGTCAGGAAACAGATCGTTTATTGAGGAGATCAAATATTTATATACATTTTATGTACATTATTATTCGTCATTATTAGCAGAGAAACGGTGTCTTCTGATTGGTCGTTCCTTGCTGAAGGTTATTTCGTCATCTCTTTGTGGCCGTTTCTTTGAAGGTTAGGCCGTGTGTCTGCGAATCGTATCCGCCCACGCAAAGTCTTCTGTTATTGGTTGTTGAGTTGGTCTTTGTTTTTTCTCATGACGAATATTTGGGACGTAAATTGCTGTCTAACACTCTTGGCTAGCGGCCGGCTCTCACCACATGTAGACTTATTAGAACCAACGTAGAAGGCAAGTTTCCTGCTACTCACTCAAAGATTCCATCAAATTTGTCAACTCGATTGGAAACAACGAGTTCTGCACTGAAGATAGGACTAGACACATCACACTAGTTACTGACTAGTGTCCAACCAAAAATATCCAATACAGTCCTACAAGAGGTCAATCGCGAGTCTGAATAGCTCAGTGGTAACGTCTCTGAGTGCAAGCGGCACTGAGTGACGCTGGTTTGAATCTCAGAAGAGATATGAGTTCCTTGAAATCAGTTGCAGATACGACTTGTGCCACGTAGCGCGAAACCTAGGTCCTGGCAAGGCTTCCTGTGGCCAACTATCTAAAACCATGATCTCACTAGATATGGTATTACTGTTTACGAAAATCCCACTAAGTGAAACAATATGCAGTAAAATTGTTTCAAAAGGGGGATAAACATTATTTGAATAAATTGCTTTCTAGATGCACTCCAAGTGCCCAAAAAGATGGTATAGCTATTGGCTCACCAGTTGACCCGTTGCTTACAGATTTCGGCTAAGTTCAACAATAGCGTCCCAGGAATCGGAATGCACGAGTGACCTTCAGCTGACCAATCATAAAGATGAGGAATGTTTTCTCAAAAAATCATGTATATTGACAAGAAAATGCTTGAGAACGCATTGAACAGGTTATCTTTCTCTGACATGGCTTAAATATACGTCCTAGTTGTAACGAGGAGTATCATTTGCGAAGTTAGACTAGTTTCTGCACACGTATTCACTGAGATAACTGCACATAAACTGTTTTTGTGAATCGTTTATCTCTCTGATCCCGCTTCCAGTCTTCCAAAAAAGCCCCCGAATGATTTATCATGGTTTCCAGCAAGAGGATAGACGACTACTTACCAGGAAAACGTGGATAATAAAAAACAATAAAATAAATGACATCAACTATAAATCTCTCCCTAGTCGTAACCATAAGCTTAATTCTGACCCAAACGCTAAACCTAATCATATCCTTATTCAAACCGTAATTCTAACCCTAATGCTTATTGTAACCCTGATCTTAACCCTAACCCCAATACTTACCTTAACCCTGACGAGCGATTAACACATTGTCCAAAAAGGCCTTAAAAAACGTGATCTGAGTGAAATTTGCTCCTTAGTTGGTGAATAACGTTGATATTTCAGCTGTTATAGTGACAGATACCGTTGGCCAACGGCTAGCATGCGTTCAAGGTCATTGGAGCGTTCACACTCCTGGGACGCTATTGCTGAACTTCGCCCAGATTTCTTCATGTCAAAACTAGAAAACATACCTAAAGAAAACGATTAACAGCTTTGGGTTTTACAAGAGAGATAGTTTTATTACCTCAAATAATAAAGCTTATTTGGAGGACAGGAAGTACCCTGTATTAACCGTGTGCTTATAAAACGAATTCATCTGTGCGTTTACAGAAACTGATTTCAAATACGCATGTCGAATATTTGCCATTGATTATTGAACATAGATTTGTTGTGCGTTATGGATATATATATATATATATATATATATATATATGTGCGATTACACACGTTCTCCTCGCGCTCTTCGAAATTTGATTTCGTTAACATTACATCTTTTCAAGGTTTCACTTGCGTTCTTAATATAATGTTGTTCGTATTTGATCGTGTATAGCGTATATCGTAGGACGTGAAAATGTGGATGTACTATAGTATTATAATCGGAATCGCATCTAGTACCCCACAGACATCCCGAACTTTTTCATCAGTTGCAATCCAGTTCACATTAGCGAAAGAAAAAATCCTTCCTGGATGTTCAACTAACAAGATGGAACACTACAGAGACCAATCTACAGAAAACTGACATGGAAGTGACAACTCACTGACTTTCATAATTGGTTGTCTCTATATACAAAACGAAACCTGATCCGTTCACTGACACTGTGGAAGAGGACCTGAACAGTGCGAAAATGATCACCTGGCAGAGAACGTTTCATCACAAAATCTATGATGTCTAAACTATTGAAACCGCCCACACTTTCTGCTTCAAAAAATAATTCTCTGCTTGAATCTATAGTTCAATGGAGACTCAACGGTAGAAATACTGAGCAGTTGTCTATCCCGCTCATTGAAGAAAACCTTTACAGTTGAATTTCGACTAACTTTCTCTATGGCGCCAATAATTCTTGCGAAAATGAAGTATAAGTTACCACTTTGTTGGCCAGCCTCATCAGTGTGCATCTATCAATTCACCTGCTCGGGTGGCGCTGGGTATGTCGACTGTAGTCAATGTTCGCTATCCAAACGTATAGTCGAACAATTACCTTAATGGTTTTTTGAAGCAGAAAATAGATCCCCCAGAAGTCCTATTCTGGAACACCTGATCGAATCTGGATACCAAGCTAACCCACAAACGGGCTTCAAAGTCATCTACAGAATACGTGGAAATCTTGCTAAAAGAGTAAGCATCAAACTTCTTCAAGAAATGGTAATTCAAGTGTTGGTTTGTAGGGATTTGTTTGATTGGTTACAGGATTTCATCATGAGCTGACGTTAGTTAGGGAACCATTGGAAAACCTGGGAGTACTGGACAGCTGTTTCGTCCTAGTTTGGGACTTCACCAGTACGTACCCACACCACTGGGTTCCAACCCAGGACCTTCTGGTTACAAGGCTAGCGAGCTCGTATACCATTAAGCCACTGGGACCCGATCCAATAGCCAGCCCATGAATTCTAACTTCTGCCAATTCACGATATAGCGCAACCGCTAGTCAATGTTTTCGGCGAGTATTTGTCCTCACACCC